CGCTAATAGATGATAGTTTTATACTCGATGTCTTCTTCCTGATAACTCTAAAGGAGCATTTTGTCTTTGGGTAAAGGTACTAAGTTATGACTTCAGCACAGAACTGACTTAAATCAGCAATATCTTCGTGACTTTTACGTAATACCGACTAAATGTTAGTGGGGCTGGTTGTTGAAACGCAACATCGCGTTTATCTGCATAGGAGGCTTATTAATAAACACCAGACTATGAAAACTTCAGTTATCCATCCTCGAAAAAACCTTACAGTGCAACTACTATAACCCGGGGCTACGTAGACAAAGTTGACCAATCGGATTACAGGAAAATAACAATGCATTCCAAAAAAGTTAGTTGTCAATCAAAATCGAAATCATCACTGTTTTCGTGTTTACCAAAAGTTGATCATGTGATCGCAGTCATGCAATGGGCCTGTTGCAACCTACGGGCGTGACCTTTTGGTACCCGCTGAAAGAAGCCCGCGTTTCATGAGAGGTCCGTTAGAGTGAATAACGCGGGCAAAAAACCGTAAACTTTAGTTAAATTTTTGACTTTAGGTCGTGACGTTATTGCAAAGCACGGCAATGGTAGCGAAGAAGTAGCTGGTAGATGGCAAAATAACGTCTTGTGTAAAACAAATATATATATATACATCCATATATAGGAAGTCTGTGTTTCGATTTTGCCGTAGTAGAGTGCTCGATACGATCACGTGATCACTTGAACACCATAACTGTTCAGCGGAGAACTTTAAAGGGACTGGTTCATGATAATGCCCATGCGCGCCGTTTGTCTCTTTAGAATTTATTTTGTCGGGTCAACACTAAATTCGAAATCGCCATTACCGGTACAATCATTGAAAATCCTTCGTTTTATTCGGACATCCGTCGCTTTGGCTGGTCTAGTTATACTTCGGTAGTGGTGATCAACGTGTGCTTGTGTCGTTTGACTGGTTACGTTTTAAGAAGACGCAAAAAATAATGTTTTGATCATGGAGGTTCAGAAGAGCATCGTGGCCGTCCGGCAACAGGACGTTCTCAAGAGTCTTTGGAGATAGAGAAGCTTAGCCTATCGATCTGGTATGGTTCTAGGAGTAGTGTGTGGCTTACGAAAAGTATACACGACACTTGGAAAGTGGTTAAAGGCATGAGTTCGTTCAACTTTGATTTGATTTTTGACTCCAACCTGTAGTTATACCGCAACAGGCCGCGCGATCTTCACCGATCTGGTACACTTGAAATGTTCCTTGTATCTTTGCTTTACGATCGTATCTGTTTAAGAATTGATGTTTTTTAAATAAATTATTGCCTGAATATTTTGTTTATAATCTACTTTCTTTATGTGTGCTACTCGATAACATTTGTTTTGCGGAACACTGACCCGATGCAACGCGAATGAATTTGTTCATTTGCTGATAAGCATTTGAAATTTATGCTCAATTAAGGATAATCTTTATACTCATACGTTGTGCGTTTTTGTCACCGGTCAGGTGCTATTTGTAAGTATTTCTGGATTAATCATAACTATAACAAAATTCTCAAATCTGATTGGTTCTCAACTGCCCTGATTTCAGCCTTAATAGGACAGTACGCGTCATGCCTGAGTAATTGGACAGTACGCGCCATCACGCGCGCGCTTAAATGGCTTTTTTTTTCATTGCTAGCGAAAAAATCTTGGAATTTCTTGTATTTTGATTTAAAAAGAGCCCTATATATCACAAATTTTGTTAAAGTTATGATTAATTGGTAACAGAACTTCGTGTCGTCCAATTCGGTCTGTAATCATACTCGTGATTAAACAAATCGGACTCCCGCTACGCGGTCGTCCGATTTTGTTAATCACTCGTATGATTACAGACCGAATTGGACTCCACTCAGTCCTGTTACCATTACTTATCAGGGGCACCCAACGACAATTTTCGAAAAATATCTGTTCAGAAGACGATTTGAAATCTAGAATTTTCGGAACATTTGTTGTAAAATTTCTTGCTTGCCTGCCTGCCCTAGGATTTTCGAACATCCAAAAAATGGTATAAATGCCCATTTTTAACGGATTTTTACCCTTAAAAGGTCACCTAGAATTTTCGGAAGCCTTTTTTCTGGCTGAAAATTTCGAAAAGGAAAGTTTTGATCCCTATAATTTTCGGATAGGAAATCCGAACAGATGAAAAAGTTTTAGGGGATAAAAATATGCCATTATCTACCGTTTAAATACTAACATTCGTTTAGCAATACTATGTTTCAGTGGTTTTGAACTATATACTCGTTGGGTGCCCCTGATTTATATAAGGCGAACTGAGAGAACAGTAATAAGATGTTTGTGTACAAATTTTGTTTGCCGATCGGTGACTGCTCTGTTAGCGTGGGTACGACCTCGTAAAAATACACGTTGGTAAATGTTTGTTTCAAAGCAGGACAGGGCTGTAAATCTTATTCTTATCGGCTGCAACATATATCTAAGGAGTAGCAAAGAATAAACTTGAATTACGGGGATAAATAAAATCAAACCAAATGCCCGGAAATACTCTCGCGTCGCGAACAATTAATTTGAATTTTGTAAATTTACTTGCATGCATCTAACTCGCTTCCGATTGGTTGAAAGACAATCAGCTACTGTCAGAACTCACACATGCGCATTATCGTGAACCAGTCCCTTTAACCGTCGCTTCAAGGAGTTGTACAACTGAGCTCGCGATTTCAGGGCGGAAAATCGTTCTGCGCAAGCTTCTGCGCATCCCTTATCGCAGGCTCAAGGCGGGCTGGTTTTTGTTTGTTGCTGGAGTTCTGAGTGAAGTGCACGAGGTGCGAACGTTTGCTCTCTGTAAAGCATTTTTATTTGACATGTTTGCTTTTTTTTTCGTCACTTGAAAATTACTTTGGATTCAGAGCAACCAATGTTAAAGGAAAAACGGATCATTCCGTCAGTCTGAGGTGGAATAAAAGGTTTTGAACCCTTTTAAAGAGGCGAGTATTTTTTCTGATTGTGCATCCGATTAATTTATGAGTTGATTTCGCCGGGTTGAATTAACACCCGCTTGTATTCCGTTATTAGTAGTGACGGTTACTGTTTTTACACGCCCAGAGTTATGTTACCTTTGCAGAGCCAGCTTTATCTTTGTCTTCAGTCAAAGAACCATATTGCTGTTATAACACATCAGGGTAAACAAACTTGTGCGCTTATTAAACTTTCTCGGAAATAGAAGGCCAGCAAGCTTACACAGGATCATTTTTCTGTTGCTCAAGTAATAGAAGTCAGAGTTTTTTTCATTTTTCATTACATAGTTTTGTTTTCCAGTGCACTGTGAAAGTTTCTGTTCTTTATAAGAATAACTTTCTGTACGCAAATTGTCCTTTTCACTCGCTGTGAAGTAGAGAACGATAACTGCCGGCAGTGACGGCAGTGACTTCAAAACAATTGACTCTTTTCCCGTAAACAATTGCTGCAGCTGGATTTGACTGAGGCGAGCAAAACAAACCCTTATGTGCAATTTTCTGTATTTTCTAATGATCGGCTGAGTTTAATTTGCTTAAACGAAGACCCTTGCATGGACCAGTTAAGCTTAAAATAGCTAAATGGTGAATCATGGCTTGGCTGCCAAGTTGCATCTGATCTTTTGCTTTTAAGATCTTTAGGTAGGTTGTTTTCGTACAGAAAATTCATTTCTTCATTGCCAGCAAGAAGTTTTTGAAATAATGTAACTCTTACTTTGTTTGAAGGAAATCCTACTTACGCGTAGGTTTTTGACAGATGTTATGCGTGTTCAACTTGACAACACAAAGCAAAATTTATATATCTGCGCGAAACGAGCAAGTTTAAAAAACTATAGTTGCTTTGAAACCGATTTTGGGGAACATTTTACTAGATAAAGATTGACCTTTTTTCTGCCCACATATCAACGAAATAACTTCTACATTGAGGATTTTGTTTATATTTTAGTGATCTGCGAAGCTACAAGTGTCCGATCGAGCAATGGTTTTAAAATATCAGCTCGAGTGCGACAAAGTTCAGTGACTTCAAGCACATTGTGGGCAAGCGTTAATTTTTTTGGGCAAATCACTGTCCAAAGATATGTTGTTTTCGTGTCCACAGTGGAGCTCCAGACCTTATATATCCAGGAACTTCCTTATATGAACACATTTTGTGAATGCATCTTGAAAAAAATCGGACCTACGCATGCACATTTCCAGTACAACGCAACGTTTAAGTCCGTTTTACTATGAGGTATTCTTCGAGAAAATTAAGTAACGACGAGGCTATAACCACAGCTTGCAACTTTTGAAGACAAATTGCCTGTTCTTTCCAGGTTATGAGTGGAAACATTTTATTTTTGAGCAATAAAATATTTGAAATCCCGCCATTTTTTCAAACCCGGCCAGGGGATATGGGCAGAAAAGTTCCACATGCTCATTACGTTTTTCCGCCCTGAAGCTCGCGATACGGTTATGCGACATTGGTCAGCGGATACTCGAATATGAGTTCAACACAATTTGCATGTGCCTTGGACTTCGTACTAGTAAGCACATTTCACATCGGCGATCATGAAAAGTTGGTCGTAACGTCATTGCGCGCGCGAGGGAGAACTCCACTATATACAAAAAGAAAAGAAAATTATGGAGTTAAATAGATGGAAATCGGATCATACAATGAACTGATATATATCTAAGTTTTATGTCGTTAATTCAATTAATATATTAGGCCTATCGTACTATTTTTTTTTCTCGGTGTGTGCGATCGCGTAAATGACCATTGCGCTCACAACCGCGAAGATCATTTCTTTACTTTATCCATCATTAAGTTACGCCACATCCAAATCCTGAAACATCTTTTGCGTATTGACTACAATTTGTCTTGTGATACAGCGTTATGTAAGGACTTCTTTTTAATATAACGTCCGGCGGACTAAATGAATGCAGGTGGTGTTTATTCTCAAGAATTGTCAATTAATAAGTACATACATCACTTACATGTGCAAAGAATCATTATTCGCCTTTCGTGGGAGAAAATTAGTGCTGCAAGACAGTCAAGAACGCAGAACGACCGTCAAAGGTATGGTTGTGGTATATATCACACAAAGTTTAACGGGTACTTTATAACTAGATACAAGCATAAACTGTGACAGATTAGAGAATCACAATTTTTTCTTTTCTTCTATATATTTTTTAAGTTATGAATCCAAACATGCTCATTTAACATCATTTAAAAATCAAGGAAATCCTTGCTGGAGGATAAAAAGACTGGCTTCGTCAAGAGAACCGCTTTTTTTTTCCTCCTTTCAATCAAAGTTTTCACTGATAATATTATCGAAGGTTGCATGTCTAGAAGTCTGTTTTACCTTGAAGTCTTTGCACAGTCGTTCAGAGAAACTAAAACCATACCCACAACAACGTCCTAAAATCATATTAAGGCGCATTGACTATAAACCGGTGTATTAATACAATTACGGTGTTATCTCAGATAGCTGTAAGATTCCCCAACCTCTTAGCGAGTTCAATTCTCCGCTCACTAGAGTCGATGACGGCAAATCCCAACTCTCTTAGCGGAAAAACTGTACTATCTTAAACACCCGCATTTTTGAAAGGTTATTTGTTTTTCTAAGAAAGTAACATCCACATTTAGTTTCATAATCGCTAGTACACCGGCGACGAGTTAGTGATACCCTCTTCTCTAAATTTCCATTTTACCCAAACTCTGTGCTTCCTCTAAGAATTAAATCCACAGGCAGCCTAATATAGGCATTAGCATACAGTTTGTATTTAGTTCAGAATATACATAATTATATGCCATAAGAATACCGATGATTAATTCTTTTGTAAAATAAGGGTATTAACGCCAAAAACACCTGTCCGCACGAGTGTCTAAACTTTAAGAAGCACAACACGTCCGCTGTAAAGTGAACCCGCGTTAATATACCAAGGTTTCATGACCGAACGAAAATCGATCGTGAAGGTAAGGCTCTTTCAGTATGCTGCTCTAGAACTGCCTAGTAACTTAAAATTCGTTCAGGGACTTGTTTTTTAGGGCTGAGAATTTGTTTCGATGCGTTCAATCAAAACACTCTTTTCGTCGTGCTAACAGCAGTTCTGCTGAGGAGGCCATATCCATTCCTCAATTTTGTACTGAGGAAATTCTGTCCTTTCCGTAGAATGAAATTCATTTTTGGTCGAGAATTAAATTTTATAAACGATCTTTTTACGACGGTAATGAGCGCTCTTTTGCTATCAGTAGATTTTGGTTAAATTGCAAAATTCAGTCGATAACTATATTCGTAAATATAATAACATTGTTTGCAAAATCTCTTGCATTGAAACAGGTTTGCGTTTGCAGCCGGTATATATAATAGCGATTTAAAAATTATTTTCTGACAACAAAAATAAAAGCAGATCTAAGCAAGAAAGACAATGATTATAGTAAATCATTGAAAACATCGATTACAACATTTATTTTGAGAATCTTTTCATTTTATACCGAAAAATATTGATCTCTTACTACCCAAACTGCCACCGTAAGTTAGCTTTGTATTTTATTTCAAAGGAGGAACGATTTCTTGTAAAAATCTATGAGTAAGCTGAAAAATTGCCGACTGCACAAAAAACTTAGATTACATCAACCTGTGTTGTAAAGCAATATAAAATAAGGAACAGCTATTATTATGTAAATTAGTGAAGCAACATAAATTAATGACAGAGCTTTATCGATAAACAAAGTAGGATGCCACACAGTGTTGTGAAATTGCTGACGAAGGGGAAATTTATGACTTCGGAGTATAGCACTGGTTTGTAATATTGAATTGCGTGCTAGGAAACCATGACGCAGAATACGGCCCACAAATAAAATCAGTAGAGCGATGTTGTCACACAATAAATCTTTTTGTTAACAAAGCCAGTAACTTGACGGGTCAACTTTGAAAGAAAAAAAAGGAAAGCGAGGCGCGCGTGCCGGCAGCACTGGTTCTGTAAACATGACTATAGTTTGTTAAATAGACATATCGCCCCATGTACGGCAATCTGGACTGGCAAATTTTTGCTTGTGGAATCCAGAATTAAGGGCTTTGGAAATCCAAAATTCAGCTCAAGGAATCCGGAATCCCGCTGATGGTGGGAATCTGGAGCCAAGTAGTTACAGTAACTTCGAATCCGAAATCCCCGGCCTGGAATCCAGAATACATAGTAGGGAGATACTTCATTTCGACTCCATAAATCGACTGTTGAAAGTACTATGAGGTTGCTTTTAAAATATTTTGTCCTTGTTATGACTGGTTGTGAGGTTGTGCTGGGTCTGTTGACCATAACATATGTTATGTGTGACAAAATCATTTGAAGTACCTCGCTCCTATTAAAAGGTTTAAAACTGTACATTACAAGGTGGTTCTAATTTTCCAGGCTGTGGATGAAATGAATGATCGAAGTATGTCATTCATATGAAAGCTACTGAGCTGTACGTTTCTGTAGTACTGTTTATTATGCTATGCAACTTGAAGGTCAGGTCCTACATTTTGAATCCACAGGTGAAATCCTGAAGTGTGACCCGTCAAATGAAATCTTAAATTTAAGCTACAGAGCATTACTTCCTATTGTGCTGTTTATAAAACCGCTGTATAAAGTTACTCATAGGGTGCTCAAGCAACGACGACGGCGACAGCAGCAAGAATGGCAAAAAACAATATGTTTAGATTGGAAAAACAACAACTTTGCACGTCCATCACGCTTTTTTGTACTTTTTTTGGTCGTCTCTGCACGACTTCGACGTGAAAGTTAACAGTTTCACGAGAACACAAGACAACAACTTTCTTTCTCTTTTCCTGAACTTTGATACAGTGTTTTAGAACACAACCCCAGAATTTGACGAATTGAATGAGATGGAATAAGCGTCGATTAAGGTTGGAAGCAGCGCGAATTCACTTTTTAAGTGAAGTTTTCCGTCGTCGTTGTTGCTTAAGCAGGGGCACCCAAGGAGAAGATAGTTCAAACCCACTTAAACACAGCACCGTTAAACGTATTTTAGTATTTAAACGGTAGATATAGGCAAATTTTTATCCCCTAAAAATTTTTCATCTGTTCGGATTTCGTAGCAGAACGTCTAGTGATCCGAAAATTATAGGGATCAAAACTTACTTTTTCGAAAATTTCAGCTAGAAAAAAGGCTCCCGATAATACTAGGTGGCCTTTTTAGGGTAAAAATCCGTTAAAAATGGGCAATTATACCAATTTTTAGATGTTCGAAAATCCTAGGAGACGCAGCTAAGCAAGAAATTTTACACCACTGTTCCAAAAATTCTAGATCTCAAATCGTCTTCCGAACAGATATTTTCCGAAAAGTGACGTTGGTTGCCGCTGCTTAAGCCCCCTATTGAGTCTGTGGACGAAATCCTAGAGTGTGATCGTTTAAGCGTAAGCGTTTAAGCAGTACTTTTGCTAGTCTGCTACACAGCCGTTTTTAGTGTCGTCACGCAACGCTCCTCCCCACTAAGTTATAGTGGGGAGGAGCGTTGCGTGACGACACTAAAAACGGCTGTGTAGCAGACTATACTTTTGCGTGCTACTGTTTGTTTTCCGGAAATTTGGGAAATAATAAAATCGTACGTCATAAGGTGTCATAACAGAAAGCCAATCAACCATGATATGCAAATACCGAAGTTTACTTGTATTAAACGCCAGACCTGTATACACACGCGAAGTTTCCTATTCTTTGCAGATTTCATCATTTTAGTGGATCAAAGCAGTTAAAAAATATCTTCGAAAAAAAATGCATGAGTTTGCAAGCAAGGTAAGGAAAATTGTTCAGTTTATTTTCTTTTAGAACACAACAAACTTTGTGTTCGTGTAAGTTTTATAGCCCGAAGAATCCTTAACAATAACAAACTCCCAAATTAACTTCACAAAAACAAACTATTTGCCATATTAACTTGAATCTATAGCTTTTATACCACCATTTGCGTTTTTTTCATCGAGAAAAGGACGACAGAACTCTCTGGATCTGGTAAGAAATCGGTTCCGGCATTCCGCTCGCGTGCTTGCGCCCGGCGTTTTCGTCATTACAGTTAAGTCTCACTTTAAGAGTGCAGTTCTTTTATTTCCTCATAAAATCTACATTATCAGCCGTAATTAGGTGTACATATCATAGTTTATGTTCAATTTATTTACACGCGAAAAGAAAAATTAGAGTTACTATTCGGCGATTCGCCGGAGTCTGGAAAATCGATAGCTGTTTTGTTCTAAAAATTCCTTGAATGACGTAATTTCAGTAGATAACTTTTAATAAGGCAGCTTCACTTTTTTTCAAGTCAAATCTAGCTAATGCTACCATTCTAATTTTGACAGAAACACCAGCAAACATACACCGTTTACGTATACACCATGTACACGCATGACATACAAGTACTCCTTAGTGGAAAATATTATTCAAATTAGTTTCAAATTGTGGACAGTTTCGTAACAAGTTCAAGTGATATTGTTACAGTTTAGCTTTGCTATGGGGCTTTTTTGCGGACAAAATTTCGAACGTGAATACATCAATGTTTTGTTAAATTCATTATTGTTATACGTAATAATACAAATTGGAAAATAACATAAATCAATTTCGACCGGGTTCATCAAGTTCGAATGCTATGCATCGATGTTGTTTAGCATAAATCGCTTTTCCGAATCATTCGAGCGTGACCGTATACAACTAAAAGATGTTCAATAAAACTGAAAGATGAGGAAGCTGAAATAGAAATGACCGGACGTCCGTTAAACGAAGCTCATACGTGCGTGACATTACGTAACTAAAAGATGTTCCAATAAAACTAAAAGATGAGGAAGCGGAAATAGAAATGACCGGAAGTCACATAAAAGAAGAGGCCCCGGGAACTAACACTTCCAATATGGCGGAAATAAAGACAGATGATTAGGTGAACCACACACGTTTGAAAAGCATTATGCAGGGTGCACGTATTTGGTTGCCCAACATCGAAGGATTTTTTACGTCTTTGGGTAGGCTACTGGAAAGTGCAGAAGGGCAAAGGAACACTGCGTCGTACGACTCTGCTGAATTTTTTAGTCGCCGTTTGCGAGAAAACGAAAGAACTCTTGTCACTTTAGCTCTAAGAATACTGTACTGGGCTGTAGTTCTGTCTCGGATTGTAGGCCGTCGAGGCTACAACCCTCGTTGAAGTAGCACTGCGATTAGGAATTCCCCGGCGATGCCTCGGTATCTGAAACCTTGCATTAATTTCTTCCTCAGCGGAGGAAAATTCCGCACTGCTACTGTTCTCCGCCCTATTTGGGTTTCCCGATTGCGTCTGTAAATTAGTTACGGCATGTAAGACGGTGTGAAAAAAATCTTGGACAGATCTAGATCTCGTGTTGTTTTCTGAGCTACTCTCCCGGTCCGCCATGTTGGTTAGAGAGAACAAACATTGGCAAAAGCGCGGGAAAACTAACGTCATTTGGACCGGACTTTACACTTCCTGTTTCCGGTCATTTCTATTTCCGCTTCCTCATCTTTTAGTTTTATTGAACATCTTTTAGTTGTATACGGTCACGCTCGAATGATTCGGAAAAGCGATTTATGCTAAACAACATCGATGTATAGCATTCGAACTTGATGAACCCGGTCGAAATTGATTTATGTTATTTTCCAATTTGTATTATTACGCATAACAATAATGAATTTAACAAAACATTGATGTATTCACGTTCGAAATTTTGTCCGCAAAAAAGCCCCATACTTTGCGGTAATTTTATTGTTTGAGAAGGGAGTGAAAAGGCCTTTTTGCGTGATACGGGATTAAGTGTGTGTGTGTTTTTTTTTATTATTTTCGTTTAAGATAAAAATACGAAATAAAAATCCTTGAAATGCTGTCCTTTTGCTTCGGCAATTTCCGTGAAACGTGACTAAAACGGAGTTTAATCACCGTGATGCGTTATTTCAGTTACTATTTACTATCCGTGAAGCGTGCGTAGCCCCCGCACCTCCCCCCGTTTGAATCAGTCGATGGAACAAAGATATTTCATCTTAAAAAGCAGAGTAGAGCAGTACACCTTTTGCTTTCAGATCGATCATGGTTAAACATGTTTATTTCATAAATTCCAACATGCATAATTTTAGTTCAAGATTATGCACCTATCATATGTAAAGCCGGCGGGGGATGGGGGTGGGGGGGGGGGGCGGGGCATGGGGGGGGGATTTGATTGTCTTTGTTGGCCCTGGGGTAGGGTATTTGACTGATCTTGTTATCCCAGGGGAGGGGATATTTGAATCTTTCTTCGCCCGACGTGGAGATATTTGACTGCCTACTCGGACGAGTAGACCAAACATATGTTTCCCGCTTCCACGCTTCACGCACGCGCCGTACGGTTTGAAAAGATCAGGAAGCTAGGGAGGCCAATGAGAACAAGCGAAGGCTGAGTGGATTTAACTGTTTTGTCTTCAAATGTCGTTTGTTTTAGCGTGTTTTTGATCAATTGAACTTCTTAAAATACTGTGGTATCAAAGTAAAAGGAAGTAAAGAGAAACCAAGTCGATTTTTGCCAGTACAACTGATTAGTGTATGCTCATTCGCTACAACCACTGTAAACTTATAAAACTGACTTTCTTTGTACCCTTTACTAAGAATGGTATATTTAAACTTACAAAATGTGGACTTTCTCCTAAAAGTTTCTCGTCTGTATTCTACGCAGTGTAACACGGATTATGGTTAAAACGTATAATTGCAGCTGTAAAAGGAACATGTATCTTTGGTGATGCAGCAACGTTTATAAAAGATTGCAGAGTTTTATTTGGAGATATTTTTATTCTGCCTTTCTTGGGTTCTGCCTTGGGATTGACAGCAATGTGCAGCCTGGGGTGGGGAAATTTGGTTGCATTTGACTGGAATGAATTGCCCGTGGGCAGAGAATTTGATTGCAAATTTTTGAAAAAAGTCAACTCCCCACCCCATGCCCTGCCTCCCCCCCCCCCCACCCCCGCCGGCATTACATTGATAGGTGCATTAACACTCCTAATCGACGTACTTCAAGCAACCCCCCTCACTGTGAGGAAGAATACAATCAGTTTGCTGTTTCACCAAGTAGGATCACCGAGGATTTACATTAATCGATGTAAGGATTTTTACCTTACTCTTAAAGTAACCATGAGACCCACTTTATTCTCGATTTATAAATTTAATTCAATTTTGAATGAGATGAGGAAGGTGAGTGTCTCAATGGGGGTAACTTTCAGCCGTCAAACGGCCTAAAATTTAACCATCATTCGTCAAAAAAGATAATTTTTTTTCCTCAACCGTAAAAAATGCAGATTAGTGTTAACCATAAAAAAGTTTTGAGGTATTTCAAATCTCGCCATTTCCGCTAATCGTCACGGACGGACTTCTGGTTCCTGAAGTCTCTAAATCGGAAAAACCAGTTCCGATGTTCTCAAAAATACAATCTCTCTAGACATTAAAGACTTTGCAACTTGCGTATATCTAAACCTATTTCAAACTTTCAAAAATGAAAGGCCAAGACAATTCAATTCACGAGAGTTGATGTTAATTCATGCACAAGTTAATATTGACCAAAACTCTTGCACTAAATTTCCACTTAATAACCGTCAACCGTCCAAAGCTCTAAAATTTAATTGTCAGCCTTCAAAGTTGGAAAGAAATAACCGTCAACCGTTAAAGCTACCACCCCACTGAGACCCTTGAAGTTGGCATACACGTAACGCAAGCTGTATAAGACTCAGCTACATTAGTGTAATTTTTTCTAATGTTTCTACAGGAGGAATATGATAATTTTCTGAGGAGTGAAAAAAACAAAGACAAGCTAATAGTTATCGACTTCTATGCCGACTGGTGTGGTCCGTGCAGAAAAATGAAGCCTTATTTCAAGGTTAGTTATTAACTAGTATTTGAGATTTGAGCAGTCTTGTTGCCAGGCCAATTCGCGCTATCATGAATGTGAGCGGAGGAGGCTTGGAACAGAGCACAAGAGCGTGAAAAGAAATCCCCCGACAAGCTTGACGAGCGAAGACTCCGAGCAAGACTGGGAACGATGTTGAAATACAGTGGAACCCCCTTAATACGGTCACCAATGGGCCAAAAAAAATGGCCGTAAAAACGAGGGTTTTTTTTTTTACAAGAAAATGTATGGCGGTTTTTGCCAGACCGCCAAAAGAAAGTGGCTGTAATACCGAAGTGACCGTATTACCAAGGTGGCCGTAAGGCGCGGTTTCACTGTATGAAAATGGATCGTGATGAAAGCTATCACGCTGGATTTTATATCTACGCGCGCAATTAAATACCTTTAATACCATTGAACAGGTTCCCGGACGGCTTTCCCTACTATCATTTACAATGTAAATATTGTGAAGAATGACATTTACAAAATGAAACATAGAAGGCTGTTTCAATGCTCAAGTATGCTAAATCTACAAAAAATAAGTTACTCAATGACCGACATAAGAAATTAATGGCATTTGAGGTTTTTAAGGACATATATGCAGGACTATCTTTATTGTCTTTTGCTAACTCGCGCATGAAACTTGGTCTTGTAGGTTGTTTTGAATTGCACAGGGGGAGTAGTATTTTGTAGGACGAATTTGACACGGTTTCCTCCGCAACCTTGTAACAACCAATAAAAGAAGCGACAGCGTCTTAAAAGCATTCCCATGGTGCAATTCGACACAACAACGACCCAGTCTACCGCCTGACCGCAAATAGACTAATATCTAAAAGTCTTCTGTCCAGCGGTAGTTGTAATGAAATTTAATGTTTAGCTGGCTGCCAATTCGTGACGGATTGCCTTACACCTCTAAATGTCATGTGATCGGAGTTAAGGCCTTTTACGCGCTTGTACACCATTTCAAGCGAGGGTCCGTGAAGTCAAGTGGTTGGCGGGGATTGGAATTTTGGAAGAGGTTGTTCCTTGTGACGTCACAATGGAAGCCTGTAAAGTGTTATAATTGCCGCATCTTTTATTGATTAAGAATGTAATGCGACAAACCTTTTGCAAACAGTTTGCAGTTTCTTCATATATGCAACCCCGCGTTCCATCACACAGTAAACTTATAGTCTGGAGCTTGCCAAGTACTAAGACGGATGACTAGAAGTGTGTTCCTGTCAAAACAGTCTTTCACTCTGTTGATCTAACAAACTTGGCCATTGCAACGGCCTTACTATCGTGCCCATCAGGCAATGGTTATGTCTGGTGACTTTCAAGCCAAAAGTCCTCAGCCGTCTTAGTCGGCGAGTCGTAGAAAGTAAAAAAAACTCTGGAAAGATGTAAAGTACACGTTTTTTTTGCGTGTTGTTTTATGAAATGTGGTTTCTGAAGCAGATTCTCGTTTCTTAAAATATATAGGCACGATTTAAGAAAGATGATCAGCCCCTGATGACGTTCCAGCTTGTAATTAAACGAGTTGTGTGCTTATTATTTTATGAGGTCTATGAAACGCTTGTTACGTCTGTCTTTGATAAATTTTGATAACTTCTTTGTTGCAGAAATGTGAGGGGAAATATCCCGATGTGGTGTTTGCCAAAGTAGATGTTGATGACGCTGAAGTAAGTGTTGAAACCAATAAATATTTATCAGAACTTGCCTGTGCCAAACGCGGAACAAATAGGCGCCAAATTCGGGAAACTCGTTACCGGTGTTAAGCGGCGCGGGAAACTGTCCGCAGGTTTCAAAAGCGGGAAACTGGCATCAGGTTTCGTACGCGGGAAACTGGCCGACATAGCATCTAAAATCCTTACCTGTTTTAAGACCACTAACGCGGCATATGCATATATGACTAACATAAGGGACTACATCTCCCCCGTGCGATTGATAGAAATTAAGGTAAGGCAAATGCCGGTGATGATTTATGTGAAGAGAGTCGATATCTTGTTTAACACATCTGACACAAGTACAAACACATAAACAACAAAAAGGAACTATTAAATAGTTCCAGTCTAGTGCTTCTGGGCTTACACTACTGAGTCATGCTTGGCAGATTGTGATTACGCAATCTTAAGTACAAACCTGCCATTTTGCGTCGCCTTGATTTACAAGAAGGAAACGTTTTCAGTTAGACAAAAACTCTTGGAGCACTCTGACTTGAAAAAAAGGACAAAATGGAAATATTTGCTGACGGGATATAATTGGTTGGCTATGATGTGAATAATCGTTTTGAAACTTTCCCGCCCTTTATCCACCCTCCCCTCCCCCACCCAATTCCTTCCTAACTTGACTGGACATGATTAAAGGCATGATTTATTCCAAAATACCAGACCCTGAGACTGACACCTAAATAGATAAAAGCCGTACGAGAGGTATTCAAGAAAATTATGGTTTGTGTCATCTTATAGGCAATAGCAGAAGAAGAAGACGTTGAAGTTATGCCTACATTCATCTTTTTCAAGAACGGAGAAAGGGTAACTACAATAATAATGATAATAATGATGATAATGATAATGATAACGATAATGATAACGATAATGATAACGTTAACGATAACGATAATGATAACGATAACGATAATGATAACGATAATGATAGCGTTAACGATAACGATAATGATAATGATAATGATAATGATAACGATAACGATAATGATAGCGTTAACGATAACGATAATGATAATGATAATGATATCGATAACGATACTGATAATGATAACGTTAACGATAACGATAATAATAACGTACCGATCAGGAGCAGGCGCCCATAACCCGGAGCGTCTAACTTCCATACTGCGGCCTATGCAACGGCGTTTTCACAAGTAGGTTTGTTTTTAGATAAGCCTTTCCCGCGAATTGCTTTCGAAAAGCCAATCACAAGCAAGTGCGTCATCAATAATAAACTTTTAATACGTAACCAGGACAACTCCTTCACGACGCACGCGGGGAATCTTCAGAGGATTCTTCTGACAGTACTTCAAGCGACAATTTCAGTATTTACACGGAAACTAGCAGTTCAGAGGAAGATCTGCAAAACGTAGAAGAGCCCGGGACGTCTACTTCATCGGCGACAACGCATAATTCACGCAAAGGGAAATCGAAATCATTTTCGAAACAGCCGACTGTGAAAAGGTCCAAGCGACAACAGTCATTTTTCGCGGGGAAAGCTTATCTAAAAATAAACTCACTTGTAAAAACGCCGTTGCACGAATTTATGGCAGTTGCACGCTCCGGGTTATGGGCTCCTGTCAGGAGCCGATAATCGGCTCTAATCGGCTCCTGTAACGATAACGATAACGATAATGATAACGTTAATGATAACGATAACGATAACGATAATGATGATGATAATGATTGTGATGATGATGGTAATGGTGATGGTGTTGTTTCATTGAATTTATTTCTGCTTGTTTCTGACCAAGTCTGTTGCGATTTATATCACAATGCGTGAAGCGAAGCAATGGTAAAAATTAAATTTACTCTCCCCAGAAGCTTTTTGCTTTTAAAGGGTTCTCTTTGCACGTAAGGAATATTAAACTGAAGGGAAACAAAAGAAATCGAAATAACTGAAAAGTAACTTTTTATTGTGTAGGCCCTAACGCTTGCGCGTTGTGGTACTTTGATTGGCTCATGAGCGGAAATAAACGTGACACGGAAAAATGTTTTTCGGTCATAAAGAAATGTCAGAAAAACTGTTTTTTAAAATTTCTTTTGACTAGTTGCTTAGTATAATAATTACAGATCGTCATATTCACTAAATCTTGCTGTTGTTCTTTTTACAGCTACATAAATTCTGCGGATCCGACGAAAAGGAGTTAGAGGAAAAAATAAAAGAACTCAAGTAGATCTTGGCTCAACAGATGTACTTTAGAAAACTAAGAACTCGTTGCTTTGTATTCAGGACTAGGAGCTTCTCTTAACAATTACTTTCTTTCTATCGACTGTACTTGTGTGTTACCATGATAGGGAGATTAGCTTTTTAATTATTATTCGTTCAAAATATTTCTAAGCTCATAAAATCCTTCCCTTTGGGCAGAATTTCTTTAAAACACATGCCAGTTCCTCAGCAGTTTCAGGTATGAGCTCGCCCCTTGTAAGGAAATCCAAGACAGTCTTGGATTCTGGATTCCATGGCGTGGATTCCGGATTCTAGGTACTGGATTCCAGTCTTTATCAGGGGAACTTTGATTCCGGATTGCAATCGCTAGTTGGCTTTCGGATTCCAGGTGCTGAATCCCAGTCTTTGTCATGGGAACTTGGATTCTGGATTGGAAATGTTAGTTGCATTCCGGATTCCTTGAGCTGTGTTCCGGATTCCAAAGCCCAGGATTCCGATTCCACCAGCAAAACATTCCGGATTCCCTTATATGGGGCGATCTGAGCAACCTCGTCCCCAGGGCGCTTTTCCCTGCAGGCTTTAGAGGTGGGGCGGCCCCACCTCCAAAGCCTGCAGGGAAAAGCGCTCTGGGGACGAGGTTGCGATCTGAGTGGTTATTCAATTAAGTTCATGCTGAGGTATTTTTCGATCAAAAGCAGTCGACATTCTAGATCTTCGAATGGCTTTCTGAGCGTTCCTGATACATGAGTAATAATGGTAATTGAACTGAGTGGAGTGCAATTTGGTCTGAAATCATACGCGTGATTTCAAAATCGATTCGATTTGAAATCACAAGTATGATTTCAGACCAAAATTGCACGACACGAAGTTCAATTACCACTTTATTACATCCATTTTGAAATCGCAGAATTTAGTCAGTACTATAGTTTATTGATCGAATAGCCGGTTTGTTAAAAAGCCGAAACAAAAAAGCTTTTACATCTCATTTTGTATTCGAAACAGAAATGATGCGATATAGAACAAAAATAGTGCGATTTAAAACAGAAATGATCCGATTTAGAACATGAATGACGCGATTTGGAACAGATGCGATTTAGAGCAAAAAATGGTGCGATTTAGGAATAAATCACACTGCTGAGAGCCAATCAGATTGCACGGATAGCCAGTGATTTCAAAGTGGATGTAATAAAGTCAGTTATTCGGCTATTTCGTCTTCCGTCCCTTTAAAATCTTCCGGCTATTTACTAACACAGCTGAACCATAAACTTCAATAGGCCACTTCCGAGTTCCAAAAACCCTCATTTTCAAAATAAGGCCAAGTGCACAACCTTTCTTGTGAAAATGAGTTTTATTTGCATGAGAATGAAAAATCATTTCCATATCAAAGGCTGAGCACTTGACCTCGTTTTGATACAGAGGCTCGGGGGAACTCGGAAATAGCCTATTATGGGATTGACTATTTAAGCCAACGGGAAACTACTGTAAGAAATACTCTTGAATGAATAATGATGTATCTTAATTCTAATTACACGAAAAACATAACTATAAGTGGCTTTTAATACGATGCCTCTGATAGCTCGATTTGAAGAAGTTAATTACTTAGTAAATACATAATATTATTTTTTATTCTGTTTAACAACAAGTAGTGAATCATTCATTCCAATCATAATTGCACACGGCAGTGGACTCAACTAACAATTTACCATAAAATAAATGATATTTTGGCGGTGAAAAAAAAACCGACTCAGTACCCATAAGACAAATATATGTGTTAAGAAGCCATATAAAACACAATTAAAGAGTGTTCCACTAGGTATTTAAAAACCTCTGTTTCCGTGTAGTCGTTTCAGGAGTAAGGGTACCGCCTTTCGCCTCCCAAGGCCAAATTTCAAACGGAGGAGGACTGGTTAGGATTCATTATATTACACAAGACCCACTTGGTTAGAAAAAGTACTCCGACCTTTATAATATCTCACGAAAAGTAGAAACCGACCAATGTTGAACAAGATATATCCATTGAAATAATTTGCTAAGACTAAATGGATCTCCAGTAACGTCTAGTTTATTTCAAATTTTTAAAAAAGCGATTGTACTCAGCATTTTCAGTCTCCATCATTCTCACTGTTTTAATATCCTGTAGAAACACTGTTACTCGTGTTTGGATGTGCCTTGCGCATTTTTTAGGACTGCGACTTATTAGCTAGTCTGCTACACAGCCGTTTTTAGTGTCGTCACGCAACGCTCCTCCCCACTAGTTAGTGGGGAGGAGCGTTGCGTGACGACACTAAAAACGGCTGTGTAGCAGACTACTTATTAGCCAAATTCGCCACTAAAATCAGGAGCTAGAGCCCATAACCCGGGCGAGCAACTCCTATACTAGGTCTATGTCGCGGCGTTTTCAATGACCGGTTTATTTTTAGATACAATTTAGAACAGTGGAAGATAAGATATTAAATTGGAAAACTAAACGCCATAAAAAAGTCAAAAATACCATTTTCAGATCTCTAGGTTTTGCTGACTGCATGGTCTGTGGTACTTATATTCTTAATTCGTGCCAGAGCCGTTATAAAAATATTCTTCTCGGAGAAAACACCGTGAAACGAGTACATGGAAGTTGCTCGCTCTGGTTTTGAATTGTTAACTTGCAAAGTCTGACAGAGAGTTTTCAATCATGAATCAGCAGTTTAGTATGCAAATTTATCGCGACAATAGAAAGCATTTACATAAGAAAAGAGAGCCAGATCCCACAGTGGTTTGGGACGAACGGGAAAACAAAATAGCGGAAGTGACGTCATGTGAAACGGCTCTATATAGGCCCCCATAACTGAGGCGGGAAAAAAGACGCCGTGAGAGAAAATACCTGCCCACTCGCCTTACAGTTGATAAGCATATCTATCAAGAGATTTGTCGTAAATACAACCGTTCCTTAAAAGCGACTAAAGCCAGCTATTACAAGAAAAAGGTCGAGGCGTCGAATTAGAAGCAACTTTTCAAGTTTGTTGATGAATTGTTCAACATTAAATGTGCTCCAGCTTTACCAAACACGATTCCCTCGAGAACTCTTGCTGAAAGTTTTGGGGCGTTTTTCGAATCTTAAATTATCAACTTGAGACGCCGTCTTTTTGTGCAACCTGCTCCAAGATTCAACGCTGATTTAACGGTCGAGTCCTGCAGGAGCTTTTTAACAGATTTTGAGCGTATTTCCGATGACGTCATAAAAAATATCATCCTTTCTGCAAAACCGAAATCCTGCACTCTTGATCGACTTCCGACTGGGCTTCTAAAGAACTGCGTTGATGTCCTTCTACCGACCATAACCACCATTATGAACTTGTCTCTTGGGAAAGGCTTTTTTCCTTCTGATTTCAAGACGTAGATTGTCCGCCCTCTTATCAAGAAAGTAACTCTTGACTCCGACGAGGTTAGTAACTACAGGCCTATTTCAAATCTTTCATTCCTGTCAAAGACACTTAAAAGAATCGTCGCCTCTCAAATCGACGAATATCTCCATGACAACGGTCTTTATGCCAAGATGCAATCGGCCTACAGGAAGTATCATAGCACTGAGACTGCTCTGATTCGTATTGTTAACGACATACAGCGTGCTCTTGATGATCAGTGCGAGTCCAGTTTGGTTTTACTCGACCTTTCCGCCGCCTTCGACACGTACAATGGATCACGCGATCTATCTCTCGTTTATTTTGTGGTGTCCCTCAAGGCTTCGTTTTAGGGCCGGTGTTATTTTCTCTCTATATTTCTCCACTGGAGGATGTAATTACGGCTCACTACTTAAATGCAATGATGTACGCCGATGATTGTCAGCTTTACATCATTGTGAGACAAAGCAATCGTGCTACAGCATTAAAGGATCTTACGCTCTGTATCGAAGATATCATGTCCTGGAATGTCTCTAACATGCTTAAATGTAACCCAAAGAAGACTGATCCTTCTCAGTCACTGCACCAAAGCTCTCGAATGACCTACCCATTACGATCAAACATTGCTCCACAGTTGACTCATTTAAATTGAGATATAAAACTTTTTTTAAAGGTGTTTATTGTTAGAATAGGTAAACAATTCATTGTAAATAGCATTCATGAGACTTCCACACGTTGTAAAATGCGTTTTTAAGCACCCTGTTATTATTATTATTATTATTATTATTATTATTATTATTGTTATATTTGTAGAGGTGCATTTCAGCGTATACGTATATACACAGATACTGTCTATCACAGTTGCACATAAGCTGTTATTGGCATTTCCCCAGGGGGGTGCACAGAGAAGCTCGGACCTTTATCCAAAAATCCCTGGAGCCAGTACGTGGACATTGGACCTTTGCCCTGATTAAAAAATAATAATAAAAAAAAAAATTATCAAGCGATGATAATTGAAACATTAACTTTCCTGCAATTAGCTGCTCAACAATTTGCTGTGTGGCAGTAAAACAAGACGCAACAATACTATCGTCACGCCTCTCGACAAAGTTCTTTCTGAGTTTTCGGAAACCTTGTTAAATGGCAACTGTAGCCTCATCTGTATTTGAAAAATAAATACACATTGTACTCAGGAATGTCTTTAAAAGGGAGGTTAGTGTGGTAACTTGCAATGAAATCCCACGGAAGATAGAGGAATTGGAGGAATGTGACATTGATTGGGAAGTAAAGATAGGGGACGGCGAGATATAAATAAATTCGCGTTTGTTTTTTCAAATGTCGTCACGTTTAGTTTTCTAATACATGCTCCAATTTGCTCAATTTTTCAAATGTGGGCAAACTCGGGCAAAGTCCCCTGGAGTTATTTAAGGACTTTATCCCAGTTCAGAAAATGATTATCGTGTGGTAACGTCCAATATGCCTGTTTCACGTCCCAATCGATTGAACTGTTATACAAAATGTCCGGCGACCTTAATTCGCCTTTCGTAAGAAATTAAAACAGGAATTACAGCTTACCTTTACCTCCATGCTACCTCTGAGAACGATATTGTAGCTGCCAATTTCTTCCAAAGCTTTCTTTGTATTTTCCGAAATGTGAATTTTCTGGGCTAAAATCACACATTAAACATTGAATGTACATTTCAATTAGTACCATTCGTTTTTAAGCTAAAACGTTATGGAATGACGTCATAAAGCTCGGTAATACACCATCTTGGATGAAAAATCTTGGATGAAAATATAAGTTAAAAGTCGTTTTGAGATTCTATAGTTGTAAGAAAATCAGTGAATATTTCCTTATTTTTGCAAGTTTAAGCAAGACGAAAATTAGGAAGCCGAATTTGGAAGAAAAAAAACGAAAAGGTATCAAATTTTTTGATTTTCTCACACCTTTTATCCCATAATAGTATAGATAATAAACGTTTCTAATGTTTGATGATTGGATAAACGATAGACTCAGATAGCAGAGGAAATGAATAATTTTGCTTTTATTATATATTGCTGCGACTTGTAGTAGCCTCTAAATTGGAATTGCTTGATGACGTAATAGAGGGATTTAGACTAACGTTTACGGCAAACGGCAAAACGTTATATTCATGACAAGTTGAGAATTTCTCAAAATAGAAAACGTGCAGCTAAACACAGTCCAAAACAATCGTTACAGAACAAACTAATGTGGGCTACTTATTTGGGGGTAGAAGTAATGAACAGTAAAGCACAAGTTGAGGAGAAACTTAGTCACGAGGTACAAATTTACGTTTGCCGTTTGTCGTAAACGTGGCTCTTAATCTCTCTAATAAGGTAAAATCTTACGAATTCTTATAAACTGATTTGATTTGCTCGACATAATATACTTAGTCATCGTTCAGTTATCTTCGGTTATAACAAGCCGATTGAAAAGCTTGTCTGAATTTTGATACATGAATCGAATTACTTAATGTGTATCTTACGTTCGCCAGAAGTTTGCATTCTTGATGCAGTGTTCACTGTGTCACCAAACAGGCAGTAACGAGGCATTTTGTTTCCAACCACACCAGCCACACATGGTCCTAAAAAAAAAGCAGAGAACAAGTAATCTCATCTTGATATTCAACGCGTGTGATGAAATTCTGGAAGCTGCATAAGTAACTGCTTGGAGCGTTGTATGAACCGTTTTACGGAGTGAAAAAAGAGTTTTACATTAACCCATAATTGAGCACATGATTTTTAATTTGACGGAAATGTTTTTTATTTGTTTACTTCGTCATTTGGATATCAACTATGTTTTTAAAGTTGTTCATCTTTACTTTTCATTCATGAATGTGTAATGCCGCAAAAGACAAAATCCAAGTGCATAAATTTGCATAATTAATGTCATAGTTATCATAGTCGCTCTCCCTCTCTCAAGCTCACTGGCATCAATTAGCTCTTAATTCCCCGGCCATTTGAAAGATGATCGTTGAAAACACAATTCTGCGACTAGACTTACCAGTATGTATACCTATTCGGACCGACAGTTGTCGTCTAGGGAACTGCGGTAAGTTTAGTTCATCCACCGCTTTCACCAAGTCCAACGCCATTCGAGCAATCTGATCCACGTGACGCATTCCGTTCCTTTGAGGAAGCCCTGAAACCACCATGTAGGCATCACCAATTGTCTCCACTTTGTACACGTCGTAAAAGTTTATGCGGTTGTCAAACAGGCCGTAAACCTTATCCAGCATCGCTGTAACCTAAACAAGAGAATATTCTAAAATTATGATTTTCTTAATGAGTAATGTAACCTGAAAGCAAGCTCCCGGAAGAAGAAAAAGATACCTAAGTTTTACTTTTTTAATTCCTTATCGTGGCGTCAGTTTGCAGAACCCTAAAAATTAAATGAAACCTTTTCAGTGAACGCACTACCAAAGAAGCCTGAAAAGTCAAAGTAATAAATCACGCATCATACTTAAGACGGCTTAGAGATGTAGGGTTAAATTTTGGTAAACGAACAAGAAGCATCAAATGGTAATTACTATTTTGTTTTTATCGTCTCAGTATATGTTTGACAAATAGTTCGAGTTAGAAATTCTAAAACAAATCCATCTTCGAAAAAAAAAATTAGGCTAAAAGTTTTCCTTCTGCAAAGTAATCCGGACTCCCCCCCCCATTGAGCAATCAGTAAGAAGACGTTAACTTATCTGTTGACCTGCAAAGGTTCCATGGCGGAGCACATTTCTGTAAAGTTGACAATGTCGCTGAAAAAAATTGTGACACTGCTAAAGTACTCGGCCGGAATTTGCTGTTTGTTTTTTAGTTTCTCAGCCACTGGATGCGGAAACATTTGGTAAAGGAGAGTGTCTGCTCGTTGCTTCTCCTCTTTCAACTCCAGCATTGTCTGGGCAAGCCGAAAGGTGTAGTTTTGAATCGTTCCCGTCATTCGGTAAACTGAGTAAACCATAAGAGGTACTAAAAGAATAGCAAACACGAGATATGCCAATCTTTGGGTTAGATGTGTTGTGTTCTCCATTCGCACCACTTCCAGGCGCTTGGTTAAGGAATCCCCGGCATTTTGTTGAACTTTAAAAATATCGTTAAGATATAAGGTCATGAGCTGAAACCACTGTTCACCTTTCGATACCGAGGCGTTGTCGGGTTCGTTAGCAAGGATGACTTCTCGCTCCTTTTCGACCAAGCGCATCACTGTCTCGTTAACATAATGGCCTATATTTGTCTTAATCTCGGGCATAAGAGTTTCACTCGCTTCTAAAAACTCCCGTCCAAGAATGCTGTGATTTGCGAACCAAACGAGATCGCTTGAATTGCTGAAATGTCCCTTGGCAAAGAAAGCCCCGCCCAAGGCGCGCTCAATTCCAATTTTGTCTTTTCCAACAAGGAACATGTGGTAGCCAACCATATCCAGAAATATACTGTTTCCGGAATTTTCTCGAACATTAAGGTAAAACCAGTCCAGCATCAAGTTGATTGGAAGAGTGTAAAACTCAATTTGTCCATACTGAGTTCCGCGTTCACATTTGCCAACTTGATTCCTGTAGCGAAATGAGACATGTTAAATTTAATATTACCCAACTTATTTTATTGCCGAATTTAGTACTAAGGTGATGACGTCATAAAAATGAAATTTCTGAAATTATGGGATTTGTCAGGATATTCTGAAAGAACAATGTCCAAGAGGCCTACATGCCAAAAATGAGCATTTCGGGGCAAATTGTCTCTGAGATGTTAGCCGGTTATACTCGTAAAACTCCATTCTAACCCCTTTTAATTTTTTGGGGGGTCGACCCAAAAAATTTTTGAAGGGTTTGTATGGAGTTTTCTAAACATAACTGGGCTACGATCTCACAGACAATTAGCCCCGAAATGCTCATTTTAGGCAAGTAGGCCTCTTAGACATTGTTCTCTCAGAATATCCTGACAAATCCCATAATTTCAGAAATTTCATTTTTATGACGTCACACTTTAGTACTCTATCCGGGAGTGTTCTCAACCCGAGCGGGCAAGAGAACGTCTCTTGTCCGCTCGGGATTTCCCGCGTTAATCCCGCAAGAGATCTCTTTTTAGCCGTGTAATAAATTTTTTATTGACGGAGGAATGGATATTGCTCTTTTTGGTCAATTCTTTGCTGAAAACGTTACTTAGTACTGACCTTTACCCATATATGAAAATGCTCCTGTAAACTTATGAAGAAGATACCAAACAATTTTATCTGGGAGCACCAACAATTATTATTATTATTTTTTTTTTGCAGACATGACAGACATAGCATTAAAACTTGAAAAAAACTGGCCCAACTTTTCAACTGTCAATCAGTGTCTATCCTTGCCATCCGTCTCAACATGCAGATCGACGACAGGAAACAAGTTCTCTATTTGATTCTTCATGTAAACATTTCAAAGCTTTTTAATTAAATACTTTAAAATAAAACGTTAAAAAAGAAGTTAATAAAGTTGTTAATACTAAATTTAGAAACAAGTGCCAACAATATACCTGTGTTCATTTAGATGCCTTTGGAAATTTTCAGCCCCGCGTAAAAATTCCCTTTCAGCTGTATCATCAAATGGCCAATCTGTTTTATCTAGAGCCTCATCTGTTTTATTGCGAGCGTCGCTCAATGTTTCGAACACTCTATCCTTGTCGTCTGCACTTTTCGATCCCAAACAAAGCACTGTCAGCCCACGCTCGATTTGAAGACGGTGAATTAAAGAAGCCACCTGCAAGCTTGATTTGAGATTTTTTTCCAGAATTTCGGCTTTTTTGATGTTTTCTCTCGCTTCCTTGACATCGTCGACCACGAAGATAAGTAGACCGGTTATTGCTATCATAGCAACGCCGATGATCTTTAGCGACTGCACACGTCGGCCAGTGGCTGTTGTGACGTCGTATCGCCAGCACAAGCGTAATAACTTTAAAGTCTTTCTCCTTGTATCTTCCTCCATAGATTTCGTTTTACTTGTTTGGTAAAAAAAGGAAAATGATTGAGGAATAATTCTGTTAATGGCTACGTGCTACAAGATAAAGAGCTTTTAATTTACGAATCCATTTAATTTACTTAATCCTTGGCCTAGACAACATATATCTAGTTAAGTGCATCACTCCAGGACATTTTGATTTTCGAATTTAATTTGGCCAGCTGAGGTCAATAATATAATCTTCCTCTTTTTCTTTCGAATATATAGGTAGTTTACACAGTCGCCGTTCGTCCCACTTCTTAAGGCTGATCTACAAAATCAAGGTTTTAAAATGCTTTTAGTTTTTTCAACTCTTTGAGTTCACTAAGCTTGAGAATAAATCCATTTTTAACAAAATACAAAAATCGCTTTTGAATTGTAGATTTAAAAGTGGTGTAAAGGACGCTCTCTGTTAAAAATTGTTTAAAAAATTCGAGAAATCTTTAATGGATAAAATGTTTAGAAAACCAGTCCATTAGTTTACGTATGGATTTTTTGATATTTGAAAGTGGTACGTTGCCTTAAACGAAAGACGACTTTGTCGGTATAGATGGTTTTCACAGTGACGTCATCAAATTGTAGAGTCAAAATAGCGAGGTTTTACGAATTCTTATTTACACTAGGTTGAAATTAACAAAAAATAAATCTTTGTACAAGTTTCCATTCCGGTAACATGTTTCATTTCGAAAATACAGCAGTTTGAACTTCCGAGTTTTTACAGTACGTGACACCAAAATAGGAATGCTGTCTCGTTGAAAAAACGTCTCTCTTCTTGATTTTCAGCAGTACAACCATTTCAAGTGTTAGAAGATATGTTTATGCGCAAGTATGCTAGTTCTCGAGAGAAAAGACAGAGTTTTTATGAAAAACAAAATGTGAACTCCAGACGTTTTTGTTAATTTCCGGCGGCCATATATATGGGTGGACCAAAACTGGGTACACCAATATGGCGTCTCCATACAAAGCTCCACAAAGGTGCGTGAAACGTTTCTGAAAACAACTCAGAAAATATCGGCCACAAGGACCTGAGACTTGGACAAATTGTTTATATACTAGTCTTTTACAACACCTCCTTCTCTTGGCTTCTTCCACTGGACGGTTTTTTGTTGCGTGACAGTGACAACGATCTATTCGGTAATTTTCAATAGTCGTTTGAATTTCCGCGTATCAGCTCCTATTTGAAAGATAAAAACGGGTCATTTTGGTGATCCGCTATAATCAGACCAGCTGTCCGTCGCGATCTTTAGGGTGCTTATCTTTGATCTACATAATTTTGGTTTAAAGCTTTATTTACGTTTTATCCTTTCTTTCTTTCAGCAAAACCATATCGCTTTTGATCTGTAACTTTCAAACAAGAAAAGGTAAAAAAAATCGAGACTTCAATTTTTTCACTAAATATATGGCATGTTAGGATAGCTGCCTCTTCAATTTCCGCATATTTTTTGTTTTATTTTCCTTTCATTTCGACATGTTTTCCACAAAGCCTTACTTTCATCTTCTATATGATATCCCTGAAAAATAGTTCTTTTTTTATCGTTGAATTATTTTTGTATCCTATAAAATGCCCTGTGCTGCTCACTAGTGTATCATTAAAATGAAAACAAAAATAATGCGATCTTTTTAATGTTAACAAATATGTTTTGACGGTCATCGTCAGTGTGACGGTTATGAAAGTTTTCAGCGATAAAACGCGCCTGTTACAATTTATACGTTACGTAACGTTGGAAAACAAACTGCTACATGAATTTTAAAGTTGACGGAATTAATAGACGCGCGTTCAAGCATCTATAGAGAAAGCGTCAGATTGATGTGTTTCCCACCTAACAATCACCGTACATAGACTCCTTAAGGTCGGTACACACTAGGCGACAAGTTGCAGCAACAAGTCGTGGCGACAGATCACTCCGTGTGTACAGGTCCGGCGACTAGTTGCAGCAACATGTCGCGACGACACATCGCAGCGACAAATCGCTTCGTGTGTACTGGAGAATTCTGTCTGATTCGAATTTTTGCAACATGTTACTGCGACAAAATTCTGTTGCAGGAACAAAGATTTTCACAAAAATTCTTCTGTACACACGAAGTGATTTGTCGCTGCGACGTGTCTTCGCGACATGTTGCTGCAACTTGTCGCCCAGTGTGTACCGACCTTTAAGCTTAGCTTGATACCTAGTAGGGGCAGAGTCCAAGATCTTAAAGCAGTCTAAGTTACTGGAGGTACGACTAGACTCTGAAACTTGTAAATGCTCACAAACGTGAAAGGATCTGTCCAATGACAAGTCACGTGCTCGTACACGCGCGTGGAAAAGTGTCGGCGTGTTTCACCAACGTAACAAGCATTACAGGTTGCACAGGAAAATTTGTACACGATGCGGGCACTAAGCCTATCAGGAAATGGATCTTTCACTTTGAATAAGTTCTTAATTTTAAAAGTAGGGTAAGCAAACTTTATGTCCGTGGGTTTACAGAATCGTTTGATGAGCTTGCGATCAACAAAGGGTGCGCAATTTCATCAACCGATTCTATAAACCTATTCACATCAAGGTTTGTTTAATTAAGAACTTCTTCAACGTGAAAGAACCTTTTTCTGAGGGGCTTCGTGCACGCATTGTGTACAAATTTTCCTGTGCAAGCTGTAGTGCTTGTTAATTTCCTAAAAATCCGCCTGAACTTGAATTTGATTCGTACCTTAAGCGACGACTTGTACAAACTGCAAACGACGATCACAGGCTGTTAATCTCCCCACTGTGGCGATCAAATTTAATTGACGTTTTGAGATCGTCTAGCTTTTATTCAATAATTTTATTTAGGCGAAATTTTAAAGAGGAGTTCATTCACTCCTAGCACTTGGAATTTATATATATCCTTTCCAAAATTAGCCTTTTTCTCTGTTTTCACTAAGAAAGTCTTTTATGTGATTTATCTCTAGATACCTTCAAAAACCTCTGCAGATCTGTTTGTTGAGGCTTTTTATGGACGTGAATGAAGCCAACCGATCCAAACTGCTTCCGTGCGTTCGTTATTGGATGAAGTCGGAAATATACCAGCTGATAAAAATGCCGAAAAGGCCGCGGCCTTAAAACTCACACGTTATATGCAGCCAAACCGCTAACAAAACTAGTAGTTTGAATGCGTTAATACCTGCCTTAATGGAAGTGGGTTCTGTGAACAAATCTCCTTGCCCTGGTTCTGACAAATAAACAGTGCACGCACTACTTTTTCTAAATCTTTGCTCATGCAAGGTCTCCCTTCGATTTTATTTTCCCTCAGTCACATTTTGAAAAAAATCTGGTTCCGATTGATTGCTATGGGAACAGGATATGACGTCATGCATTCAAGATTAGGCCATTTTGGAGGTAAATGCTACCAAATAACTAACAAAACGAGTAGTGTGAATCATTATATAAAAGGGATCAAAAGTGGGCGCTATTTTTAATTCTATTTTTTATTTGTCTTTTATCGACAAAATATAGAGTAAGCCATCAGCAATCTCCCGACATTGTTCGTGAGAAATCAACGTGCAAGTTCTACTTGTCTCTTAACCCTTTTCCGTGCAATGTCCACGTTAGTCGATTTTTAAAAATGATTTCCATCAGTTAGCTCTACTTTTCGATATCAAGTTGACCCTTTTTTTCTCGATCACATTTTGAAACATTTAGTGTTATTTTGATGCTATGATAACGATATATGACGTCATGATTGCCATGGGAACAAGCGAATTTGGGCGCAGATACACCACTGCACCTGATGTAGTTCATACATCAAAATTACCTCTGCGTGATGAGGCGTTTAAGCCTCTTAAGTACAAGATGGCGGGATGATTAATTACACCTCCATTAACTAAAAACGTTTTCCTCGATTTTTTTAATTTAAAAAAACCGCACCCTTGAAAATAATCTCTTCCCTTCAATTACTCTTCATTTATTTCTCAGACACTTTCTGGAAAACTGTGGTCACAAAGGGTTGCATTGATTGCGAGATATGACATCATAAGGTATTATTCTTGGCGATTTTCTCTTTGAGAAAAACTTTCCAGCGTATCGCTGTTCCAAAAGTAACAAACTACTAATCGGTTCGTGACGATGTCTATATTCCGCTGTTTCAATTACTTATCTAAGAATAAGATATAAGTTAGAGGAATGCTAATCCGAATTATTATTTTTGGCGGCTGTAATTTGAAAACAACATTGAACGACCACAAAATATTTTTTAATATATTATCTTGAACCTTATTAATTAAAAAAGACCATAATTTTAACTAAACAACACGAATTTCCTGAGTCAGTATCAAGACAGTGACTTGTTTTTGTAAAAACTAAATGTTGAGCGCAGCAAGGCATGCACGCAAGCGCCAAGCATCTGCAGGTTAAGCGTTTTTAGGATTAATACCAATGTTAACTACCTTAGCTTGGAAAATATGTAAGATGAAAAAAAAAAGTTTTTTAGGAATTGAAAGGAAATACACTGAAACTCACCTTTCTACACAGGTATTTTCCTGCAAGTTAGTCATAAACGATTCTTGGTTTTCTTCGAAAAACGAAGCAGTGTCACACTAGGCATGTTTTTCATGTATTTCCTTAACACCTGCTATCGATGACGTGCTGATTGTCGATGATCTTCTCAAATTAACCATGCATGCGGTAAACTAGAATTAATTTGAGGAAATAAACACACAAAAAGGACCCAAAATTGTTGGTTGTGCCTTATTTTTGCTATGAACAAACCGTGAGTATAAAACTTTCAATTAAAATTATGCAAATTGCCCGAAATTGATTGGCTATGTTCAGAAAGCAACTGGGCCACTTTTCTTGAAGCTGAGTAATGAGTACACTTCGCTGAATTTAAAACCTTTTATCAGGAGCGAGTCGTCACGTCTTCTTTTAGATGTATTAAATAAATCTTGAGAAATTTTCGCGTTCTCCTTCAGCAAAGTGTAAAATTTTTAAGTTTTGTCCCTGAATTAGAAATAAATATATGGGCACCTTACAAAACTAGATTCGGACTCACAAACAAAAACGAAACAAAACAAATTAATATATAATTGCACCTTGTAACAAAAAGGTCGTTCATCTGAAAAATACAAAGGTTTTAATGTTCACTATTGGCTCTGATTCTAAACAGCTAGTCCAGAATATTTAAAAACTATTAGTTCAAAACATTTAAAAATAACATAATTAAGCAACTCAAAGGTCTCATTTCGTTTAAAAACTTAAAAGCGATAATCTACGATGCCTGAATTTAAATGTAGTAATTGCACATATCGTTTTAAGTTGTCAGAGTCATAGTTGTTTCTGAAGTGTCAATTTTAGGTCGTCGAAGCGACATAAAGTTCTCTTAAAAAGGTAATTTTAAGAAATCATTCTGAAATTTGGTGATTTTAAAAGTTCTTAAAATTTTTGAAAGGACTCTTGCTGAATGGGAGACTATAAAAAGTGAGAAGACCTATAGAAAATACAAGCTTTTAACTACAAATAGGTTTCCAATGTTAAGAATTGAACTCAGTTGTGGAAAGTTTGATGTTAAAAACACCAACAACAATGTTTTAGCGAGTTTAAGAGCAGATTTATTTGCAGCAAAGCCGTATAGCTGTCGCATTTTCTCTTTAAAACTTTTTTATTGCTTTTAAGTTAATAATAATAGTAATAAATCCTACAGGCGATTGCGACACTACCGAGTTGTGGTAAACTACATCCCTCGAAAATGCTGCGAGTGTTTCAAAAAACACCTCTCCAAAAAATCACAATTCTGTTGTGATTGGTTGATGTATTTTGTTTCAAACACAAAACAAAAACAACTTGAACTGATAACGAAGTATGGTGCACTAAAGTACACAGTTGAAGTATCTACTTGCCCTGTGGGAGTTGAACTTTTCCTTGTTCCAATTAAATTTGCATAGTTACTGTGATTGAGTCTTGTTGTAAATATAAAAATGTCCAGCCTTCCTTTCTGGAATTCATATAACATGTCAAAATGAAAATAAATAAATGAGAAAAAAAAAAACACTGTCACCACAGGATCGAAGAAACGGTAGTCTGAACTGGGGGGGGGGGGGGGGGGGGGGGAAAAGAGGGATGGTATTTCAGACTACAGGAACAGAAGAAGCATTTCATGATAGATCTGGCATAAGATACTTCAGACACTATAACCGCTTCAATGAATTCTTCTTTTATTGGTTATAGCTTCTCATATATTACAAGACAAGTAGGTTTACTACAACACATAGCTGAAACTTTCGCTTTTACTTGGAACAATATCTCCTTCATGTATCAGTTCTATTTTTATTGTACTTTATATTATTAACTACCTTTGTCTTTTCTTTTAGACTCTCCTCCTTGTTCGGTAAAACTAGACTAAGTGTAAGTTCCAGGAGACCCTTTTATCTTAAATCTTTTTGTACGTTTGCGATGCGTGTGTCTATTCTCTAAAAGATAATAAATAAGTAAATGAAATATAATATAACATAACATAACATGATATAATATAATATAATATAACATACCATAATATAATATAATATAATATAATATAATATAATGTAATGTAATATAATGTAATGTAATGTAATGTAATGTAATGTAATATAATATAATATAATATAATATAATATAATATAATATAATATAATATAATATAACATACCATAATATAATATAATATAATATAATATAATTAACAATTATTCTTTGAAATCGAGGTGAATAGTGGCTAAATATTTACCGAGCCGCGAAAGCGGCGAGGTAAATATTCCCAAAGCCACTATTCACCGAGATTGAAAAGAATAATTGTTTTAGTATATACACACGAAGTGACCTCAGCAAAATCAGAGAGGAAACCATTAAAAAGTACGATTTGATTGACAGATCAAATCACGCGTAAGTTTAAAAATAGATCTTTGCAGAATTATCAAACATTCCAATTCACAAGTTATCATTTCGCAAACAACAGCGTAATGGCTTAAATGGAACCGCTAAAAGTTTGAACTGTTTCCTTAGCTGAGAAGAAAAGAAGAGCTTTGTTGTTTTCTGTTGACTCGCCAAGTTTATAGCCAAAAGGGTTTGTTGTGTCGTTCTTCGCATGAAGTGCTGACAAAAATGGCGGCTCGGTTGCACGAGGTAAGACGTCGTCTTCTTGTATCATTCTTTTTCCTGTTAACTTGAAACGTAGAATTTCTGCAAACATTTCCTTTTGAATTTGTTTGTCATAAATAAACTTCGATTTTTGAGCCAAAATTTTCTTGTTAGAAAACGCTGAGTTCACGAAACGGCTTCTTCTACGCGAATACACGGGAGTTGTAAACAATCCATCGAGCACAAAACTCAGCTACAGTAAATTGAAAAACGCTGTATTGAATCCTTCCAAGTCTTTTATTACCTTAAAAAAAGTCAGCCCTAGGATTTTATCGACTTTTAAAAGATTGTTCTGTAAAAAATGGGAAAAACACGGAGCTCACACATTATCCACTCGCTAGGAGGTGAATATTGTTGAATAGTCCGAGATAGCGAACCAATCAGATTGCTTAAATCACCAAGATCACTGAGTGTGTATATACTAATATAATATAATATAATATAATATAATATAATATAATATAATATAATATAATATAATATAATATAATATAACATACCATAATATAATTTAATTTAATATAATATACTAAGAATAAAATTTACCACACCGGTGTTACGGTAAATTATGGTAAGTGCAATTGGAAAGCTTTCTCCATTGCTGTTGGAATCATGACATTTTGCGATTACTTACATTAATTGCAGAAGGATCTTTTTATCTTAGAATATTGGACCCAAAGCAATCTGTACATCTTCAGTTCATCAATATATATAAAAAAAATCAATTTTAGATGTCAACTGTTACATTTGAGCTAATACGTGTCACAGTTTTTGGCTGTAAAGTACTAAATTTTAGCTGAAAAGTTTCACAGCTGCACATAAGCCATCATTGACATTTCTCCCGGCGTGTGCAGAGTAAAACTCGGAGCATTTTCCAGGAATCCTGTCAGCCAGTATGTGGACATTGGACCTTTGCCCTGAGTATAAAAAACAAAGTGCACACATTATTCTTTGTGTTACTGCTAAATACATTTGAATCGTTGACGTCAAGGAGCTGTGTTGATGGCTGCCACCCTACAGGTTTTTTACAGTTTTGTTCCAAATTGTTCTAAGTCACAAGCTCTTTTCTTCAAAAGCTGTTTATTTATTTCTCAGACTCATTTTGGTAACCTTTAGCTACAGTCGGGTTCTATGGTTACAAGATATGAGGTCAACAGTGGCAGAAGGTCAAGCTATTACAAGAGACAATCCATTTTTGTAGAAAAAACCTATAAAACAGCTAAGCAATAGAGTTTTCAGTCACAGCAAACCTCAGCCAAGGAAATGGCTCAGTTTTTTAAATGTTTTCATAAAACTTCATCTTTAATTAAATCAAAGTGGTAGCCAATGAGATGGTGGCCAAGCAAGCTGCCAAGATAGCGGCCATTTTAAATGACGTCCTCAACAGCGCAATATTCCATAATATCTGTACTATCTTGGAGAACTCGTCACAGGGTAAATAATTGTAATTGTAAGTTTTTTAAGTATTTTAATATATTGTAAACTCAAAAGGAGGCTCAAACTGAGCCCTCCCAATGTGAGTGCGGATTCATTTGTTAGTCTGTGCGTGATAACCCGCTTTTGAAATGGTCTCTTTAACACGCTGCTTCAAAAAGACTGGAAGCAAACTACTCATGTCAAGGTGAATAGTCTATAAAATGGCGACCGAGGAGGTCTTTTTGATCGGCGTTTGAGCAAATAAAAGTTACAATAATGTCAGTTTACCTTTACTTTCATGCTACCCCTGAAAACGATGTGATAACTCCCAATTTCCTCTAAAGCTTCCTTGGCATTTTCCGAAATGTGAATTTTCTGAGCTAAAAAAACACACATACATAGACATAACATATTATAATAATACATTCAGTAAAGAGCCATAGTGGATCAATGTCCATTGGCCTAATGAAAACTGGTGCAGTTGATGGATGACGTAGAAACTTCCTTAAAAATCCGCCATCTTGAATTATAAATTACTGTTACATTTTTAGACATAATGCAAATGTAAAAAAAAAAATGAAAATTAAATGGAATTAGAGCATTTAAGATAGATTTTAAGATTCATCTATTTTTATACTAGGGTAAATAACAAATTCAGTTGATGAATAAGCTCCTTACGTTCGCCAGACGTTTGCATTCTTGATGCAGTGTTCACTGTGTCTCCAAACAAGCAGTAGCGAGGCATTTTGTTTCCAACCACACCAGCGACACATGGTCCTGATAAAACGATAAATAACAACAGGTTATCTGATATCTGACAAGACCCCTGATTCCGCAGAAGAATGATGTTTATCCCCGTTACCCTTGGTATCTCAAACTGATAGAAGTAAGGATCGGTAAGAATCCTAAGTGCTATAATTTTGTTGTTAAAAAGAAAGCAGTTACAATACGGCTTCAACATTTGGCCTAAATAAAGCCAGAAATGTTCCCTTTTATTTGAATTCAGCTAACTTTCCATGCATACACTTTCATGTTTTTTTTTTTTTATTTCTACTTTTTAACCGTCTTTTCATGCATACATTTTCATGTTTTTTTATTCCTACTTTTTAACCGTCTTCTACAACAATTTAAATGCTCGCGAATGGTTGAGTAGGTCTGAATTCGCTAGGGTGCCTCGCGGAAATGCACCCTATATAATTTAGGGCTTGTGACTAGCCAAAAACGTACCTAATCCTGTATCCTCTTATTACAAAAGTATAAAAAGGGGGCGGGGGTGGGGAGTTGCCCCCGATCCCCGAGGTCCCAGCACTGTTAGCCTAGACTTACCCGTGTGTATGCCAATTCGGACCGACAGCCGTTTAGTGGGGAGCTGCGGTGAATTTAGTTCATCCACTGCTTTTACGAAGTCCAACGCCATCCGGGCAATCTGGTCAACGTGACGCATTCCGTTCCGTTGTGGAAGCCCTGAAACCACCATGTAGGCGTCACCAATTGTCTCTACTTTGTACACGTCGTAAAAGTTTATGCGGTCGTCAAATAATCCATACACCTCATCCAGCATAGCTGTAACCTTGAAAAAGTAAAAACAGTGTAGTGTGGTCCAGTTGTTGTGGCAAAAGGGTGAGATTGAGATGAATTTGGTATCAGTGGGAGAATTATGATTATGATTATGATTGTCATTGTGATTATAATTGTGATCGTGATTGTGACTGCGACCATGACCGTGTCCGTGACTGTGACTGTGCCTGTTTCTGTGATTGTAACTATGATTATAATTGTGATCGTGATTGTGTCTGTGACCATGACCGTGACCGTGACCGTGACCGTGACTGTTTCTGTGGTTGTAACTGTGATTATAATTGTGATCGTGATTGTGTCTGTGACCGTGACCTTGACCTTGATTATGATTGTGATTGGGATTGTGACAATGACCGCGACTGTGTTTGTGACCGTGACCGTGATTGTGACTGTGATCGTGATCGTGATTGCGATTTGGATTACTATTATGATAAGAAATTATTCTGTGCATCAAGGTACTATCTAAATAATTTTCTGCCTGATCTTAGCATTCTTTATGAGTGGGGTATTATGGGATTATTCCAAGAATTCTTTCAAAACATTTGCCAATTTCTCGGCAGTTTTAGGATTCAAAAGGGTAGTTATAACTACTATATTTTACAGATAGTAAAAAAGACTAAGGTATTTCTGCTTCTCTGTTTCTCTCCCTCAAATAAACTGTTAACTGAACTGATAAAAAAAGTTTGCAGCTTAACAAAAATAGTAAAAATACTTCAGACCTGCAGAGGTGCCATACCAGAACACATCTCTGTAAAGTTGACAATGTCGCTGAAAAATATTGTCACGCTGTTAAAGAACTCGGCTGGAATTTGCTGTTTGTTCTTGAGTTTTTCAGCCACTGGATGAGGAAACAATTGGTAAAGGAGAGTGTCTGCTCGTTGCTTCTCCTCTTTCAACTCCAGCATTGTCTGGGCAAGCTGAAAGGTGTAGTTTTGAATAGTTCCTATCATTCGGTAAACTGAGAAGACAATAAGAGGCACTAAAAGAATAGCAAACACCAGATATGCCAGTCTTTGGGTTAGATATGCTGTGTTGTGCTTTTCTACGACCTCCAGGCGCTTAGTTAAAGAATCCCCTGCATTTTTTTGTACTTTAAAAATATCGTTAAGATATAAAGTCATGAGATCAAACCATTGTTCGCCTTTCGATACCGAGTTTTTGTCTGGTTGGTTAGTAAGGATAACTTCTCGCTCCTTTTCGACCAAGCGCAACACTGTTTTGTTCACATGATGGCTCATTTTTGTCTTAATCTCTGGCATAAGAGTTTCACTTGCTTCTAAAAACTCCCGTCCAAGAATGCTGTGATTTGCGAACCACACCAGATCGCCTGAATTGCTGAAATGTCCCTTGGCAAAGAAAGCCCCGCCCAAGGCCCGCTCAATTCCAATTTTCTCTTTGCCAGCAAGGAACATGTGGTAGCCAACCATATCCAGAAATATACTGTTTCCGGAATTTTCTCGAACGTTGAGGTAAAACCAGTCCAGCATCAAGTTGATTGGAAGGGTGTAAAACTCAATTTGTCCATACTGAGTCCCGTGTTCACATTTTCGGCCAACTTGATTCCTGAGGTGAAAATGAAACATATTAATTAATAATCCAATATACTGATGATACTGGATTGAAGCTCGCATAGTTCCGATTATAAACGAAAATGGACTACAAATTAAGGTCTTTTTCGTTAACTTATTCTGTCATTCGCACCGAATATTTTGCTACAAAGGCAGCTTTTATCAAGAAAATAGGGGAGTAGGGATAACGTACTTTCCCTCTACTCCTGGGGGAGGACCTGAGGTGGGAGCGCGGGAGAATCGGCCGGGGGCTGAAGCCCTGGCCAATGGGGGGAAGGGAAGGGTACTGTAGGCAGGAGAGGAGAGAGTGGGAGGGGGAAGTTTTGAAAGGGCAGCAAGAGGGAGAAATAGACGGAAAATTACGCAACAACAATTGATATTTTACAATCGAAAAAGAGCTATAAGGAGGAAGCCATGAAAAGGGGCGGGATCCGGGAATGCAAAGAACGCAAAGCGGAGGCGGGAAGATTGGATCCCCCTTCCTCCCTCCTTCTCCCCTTCCCCACTCACCTACTATGAAATAAGGCGCCTCTTAATTTTTGAATATTTCAAAGTTAACAATAGCTAATAAGTTTAGAAACAGGTGCCAACGGTGTACCTGAGTATATGATCGTCGCAGTGGTAGTTACAATTTAAGCAATTGCAAATTAACCCGAGAAAAATTCCGGCTCTTCAGTCTATAAAGGGATTCGAGCCCAAGGCCTCTGCGTTAGTGCTGCAGTGCTCTGCCAGCTTAGCTATGTAGACCCATACATTGGGAGTAGGCTAACTTGTTCAGTTCATCTTAACCCGTGAAAGGAATGAATCATTGAATGAATAAGATGTAGCTTACCTGTGTTCATTTAGATGCCTTTGGAACTTTTCACCCCCTCGCAAAAATTCGATATCAGCTGTGTCATCAAATGGCCAATCTGTTTTATCTAGAGCCTCATCTGTTTTGTTGCGAGCGTCGCTCAATGTTTTGAACACTCTATCCTTGTCCTCTGCACTTTTCGATCCCAAACAAAGCACTGTCAGCCCACGCTCGATTTGAAGAAGGTGAATTAAAGAAGCCACCTGCAAGCTTGATTTGAGGTTTTTCTCTAGAATTTCGGTTTTTTCTATGTTTTCCCTTGCCTCATTGACATCGTCGACCACGAAAATGAGGAGGCCGGTTATTGCTATCATGGCAACGCCGATGATCTTCAACGATTGCACACGTCGGCCAGCGGCTGATGTGACGTCATATCGCCAGCACAACCGTAATAACGTAAAAGTCCTGCTTGTATCGTCCCCCATAGTTTTCGTTTCACTTATGTGGTAAAAAAGTAAATTGGTTGGGAATGTAAATGCAAAAAGAAGAATTCGATTAGTGGCTACCTGCTACAAGATAACGAGCTTTCGACTGACTAATTTATTAAATGCGTTTAATCCTAAACGATACTGATAAAAGAAGAATTCGATTAGTGGCTACCTGCTACAAGATAACGAGCTTTCAACTGACTTATCTATTAAATGCATTTAATCCTAAAAGATACTGATATGTCTAGTTAAGTATAGTACTCCAGAACTTTTGTTTTTCAAATTAAGTCGACCAGCTGTGGTCAGTTATTCAATATTCGTATTTTTTTTCGAATATATCACCAGGTCTTTTATGGATCTGCCACAGTGGCTGTTCATCCCACTTTTTAAGCCTTCAATTACTGATCTACAGAAATTTGGTTTCCAAAATGCTTTTAAGTAAAGGTAAAGATAAAGATAAAGTAAAAGACTCCAAATTTTACGTCAGTAGCTCGAAATAGTCATCTGGCTACAAACCTGAGGCCGACGGTGCGCTCATTTTGTTGGAAATATGCCAACTGATAAAACTGCAGAAAATATCCCTCCATTAAAAAATACACCTTATATGCTACCAAAACTAGCAGTTTAAATGCGTTAATACCTGCCTCAATGGAATTGGGTTCAATTAACAGATCTCCTTGCCTTGTTTCTGACAAATAATTATAAACGGTGCACGTTCTACCTTGTTTACTAAATTTATTGCGTATGCAAAGTTTCCCTTCGATTATATTTTCGCTCAGACACATTTAAAAGAAATTTGGAGGCAGTTGGTTTTATGGGGACAGGATATGACGTCATGCATTCAAGACTAAGCCATTTTGGAGGTAAATACTACCAAACAAGTAACAAAACCATTAGTGTGAATGTATAAAAGAGGGATCAAAAGTGGGCGATATTTTTATTTTGTTTTTTATTTTTAATTTTGTCTACATAAAATAGAGGAAGCCATCAGCAACTATGATCTCCTGATATTGTTCGAGACAAATCAACGTGCAAGTTCTACTTATTTCTCAATCGCTGTGCATGCAAGGTTCACGTTAGTCGATTTTTAAAAACGATCTCAATCAGATAGCTCTACTTTTCGATATCAAGTTGACCCTTTTTTTTCTCGGTCACATTATGGAAACATATTGGTGATATTTGGATGCTATCATTACTATATATGACGTCATGATTGCCATGAGAACAAGCCAATCTGGCGTCAGACACATCACTGTATCTGCAGACGTACTTTATAAATCAAAAATACCTCTCTGCGTAAGTACAAGATGGCGGGGTGATTAATTACACCTTCATAAGGCTTTCTCGTCGGGTTTGTTAAAAAAAAATAAAATTTTCAAAACCGTCTCTCTTCCATTCATTTACTGTTCATTTATTCCGCAGACACTTTCTGGAAAAATTTGGTGACAGAAGGTTGCTTTGATTGCGAGATAAGACATCATAAGATATTATTCTTGGCAATTTTCCCTTGGAGAAAAACTTTTCAGCGTATCGCCGTTCCGCTGTGTTGAGACAACCGTGATAATAGAGGTTTCGAAAGTAACAAACGATACCTATATTCCGCTGTTTTAATTACTAGGAAATTAAATCTAAGAATGAGATAGAAGTTGGAGATGCTGATCCAAATTCTAGTTAATTTTTTGGTGGCTCTATAAAAACAACATTGAAAATCAAGGTAATTTCCTACCATATTCTCCGACCACGAAATATTTTTTAATATTTTATCTTTACCCTTAATTACTAATTAAAAGAAAAAGCAATACGAATTTTCTGAGTTAGGATCAAGGCAGTGACTAGTTTTTGTAAAAACTAAAATTTGAACGTAAGCTAACACGATAAGTGCAAGTGCCGAGCATCTGTAGGTTTGGCGTTTTTATGATAAACACCAATGTTAACCACCTTGGAAAATATGTAACATGAGAAAAAAAGTTTTTAGGAATTGAAAGGAAATACACTGCCACTCACCTATGTACATGGGTATTTTTCTGCAAGTTAATCACAAACGATTTTTGGTTTTCTACGAATTAAAACGAAGCGGTGTCTCACACAGGCATGTTTTTTCATTTATTTCCTTTAAAACCTTTCTTAACACTTGCTATTGATAACGTGCTGATTGCTGATTATCTTTTCATATGAACCATCCATGCGGTGAACAAAAATTACTTTGGGGAAAAAGCACTAAAAGGGCTGCACCTTATTTTTCCTTACTAAACTATAGAAATTACCCTTAACTGATTGGCTCTGTTCAGAAAGCAACTGGGTCACTCAGAAGAATGATAAATACTCCTCTCAATTTGAAATCTTTTATCAGCAGGTCGTCACCATTTAAATCTGCCGTAGTCTTTTAGATGTATTTAATAAATATCTTAAGAAAATTGCGCGTGTTCCTTTAGCAACGTGCAATTTGTGTGAAAGTTTTAACTTTTGTGCCTCGTTGAGGGCTGTTTACATATAACCTTAACCTGATTTTCTCACAAATAGTATGGTGGTTGTTTATCATTGACAAAAAGTATTTTGAAAGTCTGGCTGGAATGTAAATGGAACACGACTGTTTGGGTCGTTACAACGGAAAATTTCCTGGCGCAACGGAACATCTGAAAAGGTAGCCCTATTTTTCCGGAAGGAATATTCGAAACGGAAATCTGTGTTCCACTTCTTCAAAGCCATCTTTGATACCAGACTCAGGCATACGCAGCCGTTTTTAACTCGTGGATTACGCGTCACGTAGGAACGAGTTATTGTGGGCACTGCGATATACAAATATCTCACTCCGGGTATAGACACTTTCGTGATTAGTCGGCTTGCACGAGAGCGCCCGATATCAAAACGACAATTGTCGTAGATCGATCTTTCCCGAACGTCCCTGCGATTAAGGAGTGCTGAGTATGCATTGTGCCCAGAGCTTTCAATGTTACGATTTTGTACCTTTCACAGGACGATACGTTCACTTGTCTTCATGTGGACTTTAAATGTTTCAAATTAGCACTATGGCCAACTTTGAGACGCAGAGTAGAGTAGAGTAATTGCAAATTCATTATCAGCTAAAATAATTAATCCACGAGTTAATCCTTTGATTTGGTAAATGGAACTGATTTGTACAAACGGTAAACGCGAGTCGACCGGTAATTGCCCATGTAAAACCGTTTAGGCCGTCACAGGCAGCCCAAGCGCACTAGTTGTGGGTTCGGGCTTCAGAGGTCATTTGGTCGGAATATACTAGAATTATTAGTGTATTATCTGATGCCAAATAAATGCAAAAAGTCTTAAAGATATGAAGTCTTCTTGTTTGTCTATCTGTACTAGTAGCCTTTAAGATAACGAAAATCGATATTTCTTGCATTATTACATGTGATTCGGGCCCTTATTGTTCGAATTTTATCACATGTATTCGAATCTACAACGCTAAGAGAAAAAAAAAATCATGATCACGCGAAATATTAATTCAAAAAGCTCCCTTACCTTTAGTTCATAGCCACTCTGTGTCCTACGGTCGGTTTAAACGCCGTTTAGTCGACTTTCTTTCCATCGAATACTGAACACTATAAAAGAAGGGAAGGCTGGAGACCTTCCAACCGACGCTCGCCGCTCGAAGGCCAATAAATTCCAAACAAAGCGACCGATCTCCCTAAAATTGCCACCAGCCAGACCGAAGAGTGTATACCTACCCGTTCGACGAGCGCCAGGTTCTAAATTCGGCTGCATGAGCTCGTGGAGCGCTGCATTTCGCATCGATTCTGGCCAGCTTCGCTTCGCCATGATGCGCAATCTGAACTGTTATCCTACGAGATTTGAATCTTGGAGCTTGGCGACCGCGTCAGATCGACAAAACGTCACTCTCGCGGGGGAGGGTCGTCACTTTTGCCCTATCGCAAACCGACACCAACATAATTATTAGAATTTGTTTCACTTACCATATTTTCCACTCTTCTGAACAGCCAAAAGATTTTCTTTTCTTCTTCGGAGGAAAATCCTCCTATTGTCTGGCTACTTTTGATAACATCGTTATCAACAGACTTTCTTCAAACGCTAGACACACGCGATCGCCACAGGAACCGAAATACACGTGATTTTTACTAACAAACAAGCTACGTGAAGAAGAAAAATAAATTTTAGGGTAGCTCTGAAATGAACTGTTGTTAAAATACGAAAGGAAATATCGAACTTGAACAGAACTACTGATCCAGACAACTGACTGCCACGAACTGATTTTGTAACCGTTATTGGCAAGATTTAAATCTCAAATCGGAGAAAAGACAGTTGGGGACGTTTTTGGGTTTCATGTGTCATACACGCGTGAGCTGTTTCCGGCCGAATTAAACGCACCGGCTCCCGGACGGTGTCGGTTTGCGATAGGGCAAAAGTGACGACCCTCCCCCGCGAGAGTGACGTTTTGTCGATCTGACGCGGTCGCCAAGCTCCAAGATTCAAATCTCGTAGGATAACAGTTCAGATTGCGCATCATGGCGAAGCGAAGCTGGCCAGAATCGATGCGAAATGCAGCGCTCCACGAGCTCATGCAGCCGAATTTAGAACCTGGCGCTCGTCGAACGGGTAGGTATACACTCTTCGGTCTGGCTGGTGGCAATTTTAGGGAGATCGGTCGCTTTGTTTGGAATTTATTGGCCTTCGAGCGGCGAGCGTCGGTTGGAAGGTCTCCAGCCTTCCCTTCTTTTATAGTGTTCAGTATTCGATGGAAAGAAAGTCGACTAAACGGCGTTTAAACCGACCGTAGGACACAGAGTGGCTATGAACTAAAGGTAAGGGAGCTTTTTGAATTAATATTTCGCGTGATCATGATTTTTTTTTTCTTAGCGTTGTAGATTCGAATACATGTGATAAAATTCGAACAATAAGGGCCCGAATCACATGTAATAATGCAAGAAATATCGATTTTCGTTATCTTAAAGGCTACTAGTAAAGATAGACAAACAAGAAGACTTCATATCTTTAAGACTTTTTGCATTTATTTAGCATCAGATAATACACTAATAATTCTAGTATATTCCGACCAAATGACCTCTGAAGCCCGAACCCACAACTAGTGCGCTTGGGCTGCCTGTGAGGCCATGTAAAGCAACCCCCTCTACTCGGAGTGTTCTATGCCTTTAGACGAAAACTGCCGTAAAAACATAATTTTCACTTTCATATTTTGTAAATTTGATAAATGGAGGGGCACCTAACAGTGAAAAGTACTCGATTCGATTCAAATCCCTCGCAAACACAAACAAAACAAAAATCTATTGTTTTTTCATACCTCAAAAACGTCGTTGATCGCGAAAATGTGGAGGCTGTTCGCTAATGCCTCTTATCTAAACAGCTGATCGAGATTAATTAAAAAACATAGTTTGAAATAGTTAAAGACAATACGATTATTTATCACTCGAAACAGAAAGCAACTACAAATAGGTACAGATCCTTATCGCCACTTTTGAGTTGTCTTAAAGGTCTCATATTCTTTTACAAACGTTAAAAGCAAGGATCTACGAAGCTTGAATTTAATATGTAGCAATTACGCGACGCATTAAAAGCGCCAGGTTATAATTGTTTCTGAAGTTGCAATTTTAACTAGTCGTAGCGACATAAAGATCTCTTGAAAAGCAATTTGAAGATATCATTCTGAAATTTGATGATTTTAAAAGGTTTTAAGATTTTTACAGAGTCTTGCTGCAAAGGAGACGAGACTAAAAAGTGAAAGCTTTTAACTATGAATGAGTTTCCAATATTAAGAACTTATGGCAAAATATAACGAAGCATAAATTGTTAAAAACACGAATAACAATGTTTTAGCAAATTTAAGGGGAGATTTGTTTGCAAAACTAATGCGTATAGCTGTTGCATTTGCTCTTTGAAATCTGTCATTATTTTTAAGTTAACAAAAAAATTCTGACGGAGAAATGCGACACAACCGACTTGTATGATGAAAGTAAGATTCTACGGTAAAAAAATTTGTGTGCCGGCCAGAAAATGTGGGAATTGTAACACTTGGTAAAACGCATGCTGCAAGTGTTTGACAAAACACCTCCCCAAGGAATTGTAGTTTGGTGTGATTGGTTGATGTATTGTGCTTAAAAAACACAAAACAGAAACAACTTGAACCGATAACAAAGTGTGGTACACTAAGGTAAACAGTTCAAGCGTCTAGTTGCTGCCTTTAGGAAGCCGCTATTCAAAAAAAAAGAAACCCAGAGTTAAGAACTGTTCAAGAGGCAAGAAATTGCTCGAGGAAAGTATCAGTATGTATGTTGAATTATCGCAACGAGATACAATGGCACTTGAAATCTTTATATATCAGTTGCAAATTGGTAAGAACTGTTTTCGACTTTCTCTTACTCTTGGTAAGCACTCGTCTTCAGTGTTTCTTGGTTAGAAAGAAGAACTTTTTATCTCACCAGTTTTGGAAGTGAGTTTTAACAAGCAGACGGGTTTTGTACATGTGTTTTAGGCTAAATATCTCAATGATTGCTTCTGTAAATTTTTCTTGAATCTTTTAATTCTCTGTTGAATTGCAAATTAGGATGATCGTTACAGGAAAAATTTCACGCTTATTAGTATACTTGATACAGCAAGAGCTAATCGTTCATTCTTAATAGCATAACATTGTTCAGTCATTCAGACGCATAGTTCTCCAAAGGCTAGTTAAACGTTTCCATAGCCTTTTCAGTTCAAGAAAAAGGTTTATAACAACTGACTATATTTTCCCGGAGTTTTCTTAACTGGCTTATTCTCGTTTTAGTGATCTGACATTGGAAAACCACGACGTAGCGCGACGTAACCGCTTCCGGGCGAAGCCGATCAAATGTTCGGTATCCGAAATTGACATGACATTCACTAGTCTCCCTGGCAGCCGTTTTTTGGATGTCACGGAGAGGGAGCCTAGACATTCACATGATCTCAGGTTCGCCATATTGGTGTCCCACAAATTTTGGTGATCCAAACGAATCCTGTGGGATTTGAACCTTTTTTTTCCAATTAACTTTGCATAGCTGCTGTGAAACCAACCTTCCTTTCTGGAATGCATTTATCAGGTCAAAAGAAACTAAATAATTGAAAAACAATCTCTGTTACCAAAGAAACGGAAGAAGTATTTAACAACAGATCTGGCACAAGATACTTCAAACACTTTTAACCGTTTCAACGAATTCTTCTTTTATTGGTTATAGCTTCTCATATATTAGAAGACAAGTAGGTTTTCTACAAAATGTAGCGAAAACTTTCGTGATTTCCTGACACAATACTTCTTCATGTATTTTTCTTTTTTTAACGGTACTTTATTAACTTTCCTTGTCTTTTCTATCACTAGATTACCCTCTTTGTTCGGCATAACTAGCAAGACTAAGCGTAAGTTGAATGTGACCCTTTAATCTTTAATTTATTTATATCGATGTGAGTGTGTCTTTTCTCTAGAAAACGTTAAATAAATAAATAACTATAATAAGAATGGAATCTACCAAACTGCTGTTACGGTAAATTATGGTATCTGCAGTTGGAAAGCTTTCTCCATTGCTGTTGGAATCATGATATTTTGTGATGACTTACTTTAGTTACAGTAGGATCGTACATCTTAGACCCGAAGCAATCTGTACATTTTCAGTTCAATAATATCTATAAAAAAAATCAATTTTAGGCTGTACACTGTTACATTTTAGCTGACACGTGTCACATTTAAGGCTGTAAACTGTTAAATTTTAGCTGAAAGGTTTCACAGCTGCACATAAGCCATCATTGGCATTTCTCCCGGTGCATGCAGAGTAAAACTCGGAGCATTTTCCAAGAATCCTTTCAGCCAGTATGTGGACATTCGACCTTTGCCCTGAGTATTAAAACAAATCATATGAAGATTTTTTTAGTGCAGACATTCATACGGTATGTGTAGCTGTGGTGATGGGTGGCATCCACCCGTGAGGGGATTATTCAGTTTTGTTCCAAATGGCTTTAAGCCGCAATAACTTCTAATCAAACGCTGTTTATTTATTCCTCAAAAACATTCTGGTAACCTTTGGCTACAGTTGGGTTCTATGGTTACGAGATATGAGGTTGAGTGGCAGGAGGTCAAGCCATTGCAAGAGACAATCGATTTTTGTTGAAAAAAAACCCTATAAAACAGCTAAGTAGTATAGTTTTCAATTACAGCAGACCTCAAGCAAGGAAAAGGCTCAGTTTTTAAAACTTGATTTTAAGTTGAATCAAAGCGGTGGCCAATGAGATGGCAGTCCAGATGGCGGCCATTTTAAATGACGTCCTTAGCCGCGTTACATCCCACAACCTAGGCCGTAATGGAGGGGATAGGAGAGCGCCCTGAGAACGAGGTTGCATATCCCATAATGTCTGCATAATCTTGAATAGCTCGTCAGGGTACATTTAAATGGTACTTCTAAGTTTTGTAACTATTTTAATATATTATAAACTCAAAAGGCTCAAACTAACGGCCCTCTCCTCCCTTGTACCAGTACATGGAAGTGTGGATTCACTTGTTCGTCTGTGCGCAATTTTCTCCACAATAACCCTCAAAACTAAATGTCTCTAAAAAACTAAAATGACAATTTACCTTTACTTCCATGCTACCCCTGAAAACGATGTGATAACTCCCAATTTGCTCTAAAGCTTCCTTAGCATTTTCCGAAATGTGAATTTTCTGAGCTAAAAAACACATACACATACACATGAGACATTACGCATTTGGTATAAGTGATATACTGATTATTCGACTAATAAAGCCGGAATAGTCAATGACTGACATCATCCGCCATCTTCAATTATAAATTACTGTAACATTTTAAGACATGTGTCAAATGTAAACAGAATTCAATATTCGATAGAATAAGAAAATTTTTTTCCAACAAATAAACCTATTAATAGATAGATTTTAAAATTCAACAATTATTACAGTGCGCACACTCAAACCCTAACACTTAAAAGAATATTGTACAATCATAGAGCTACGTGAAAAAGGAAGAAACATTGTTGGCCAACAACTCCCAACAGTGTCGGATGTTACATGTTGAGTTAGTTTGCACACCCTGTTGCACGTTTGGATGCTGCTGGGCAAAGTTTGAAACCGGTTAAACTCTTAACCCCGTGAAAACGGACGCAACATTGTTGGCCAACAACTCCCAACATTGTTGGATATTACATGTTGCGTCAGATTGCACACCCTGTTGCATGTTTGGATGTTGCTGCGCAACGTTTGAAACCGGTTAAACTCTCAGCCCCGTGAAAACGGACGCAACATCGTTGGCCAACAACTCCCAACATTGTTAGATGTTACATGTTGCGTCAGTTTGCACACCCTGTTGCATGTTTGGATGTTGCTGCGCAACGTTTGAAACCGGTTAAACTCTCAGCCCCGTGAAAACGCACGCAATATTGTTGGCCAACAACTCCCAACATTGTTAGATGTTACATGTTGCGTCAGTTTGCACACCCTGTTGCATGTCTGGATGTTGCTGCGCAACGTTTGAAACCGGTTAAACTCTCAGCCCCGTGAAAACGGAGGCAACATTGTTGGCCAACAACTCCAACATTGTGGGGAGTTGTTACGTCCGTTTGCACGACGCACCTTTACGTTTACTGAAAACAGAAGATTCTTAAAGTTTTTTTTTGCAAACGGACCAATAACATTCATAAATTTTGAGGGCTTTTTCCTGAAAGGTGAGGTAAGTTCAAACTGTTTTTAGTTTTCAACGGTTGCATTAGTTCAACCTCGAATTTTATTGGTCCGTTTGCAAAAAAGCTTGGAAATCTTGGAAATCAGAAAACGTTGTGGTATTCCTAGTGTCCCAGTTTTAGTGTCCGCACTGTAAGCAAGGGTAAATAATAACAATTTGAATTAGTCAATAGGCTCCTTACGTTCGCCAGAAGTTTGCATTCTTGATGCGGTATTCACTGTGTCTCCAAACAGGCAGTATCGAGGCATTTTGTTTCCAACCACACCAGCAACGCATGGCCCTAATAAAAGGATAAATAACAACAGGTTGTCTTACATACATCTGATTCCGTAGAACAATATACACTTAATGTCAGATCCCGAGGGAAACAGTTAGTGTTGTTTTCCCGAGAGTCCTGATGTTCCTGGACTCGAGGGAAAACTTGAAACTGACTTATCTACATCTTTTTCCTCCACTACTGAGTTGCTGTTCCTCATCTGGGATAACTTTGAAAATCATTGCTTTTTAGCTTGAGGCTTCATGTTTGTGTTGTTGTGTTCATTCACAAAAAAGAAAACTGGCAGTGTTTTTCCCGCCTTCTGTCGCACCACTTTCCACCATGCTTTGATCACGCGCTGTAATGTATCCCGAGAAGGGTGAGCGGGGTACATTGCTTAATGTATCACTATCAGGATACATTTGAGTTTAGTCAAGGACATGTGACCAAGAATCAGCCAATGGCTGTCCCTCTTTAGTTGAGTAAAAGTCTAGGAATATAACAATGATGTTTATCCCCGTTACCCAACCTCGTCCGCTCGGCTAATGGGGGGAAAAAGGCGAAAACAGGCCCTAGCATCGGCTGGTCACGTGTCCCCTCGTACACCCTAAATTCCTGGGTGTGATTGCCAACGAGCAGTCTCTCGTCTTAGGCAGAAGCATAGTAAGACCGTGCACGAAAGTTCCAAGGCAGAACTGAATCTCGAGGCGATATGTAACATACGGTACTGTAAGGTAACTTTCATGACGTAATGCGGAACAGAAAATACATTATTTTCGAGCGAACGCGTGTATGAGTATAATACATGAGTGCATTCCATGACGGTAAATGCCGACATGATATGACATGAGATGACTAACCTGCAGCCTGCAGTCTCGTAAATTACGGTGTAATTCATTACTTTTCTAAACAAATTGAACAGCGCGCGCGTTTAGGTAAAAACTTTGCTTGTTATCGTCGGCACTTAGCGATGGCTATAACTAGTAAATAAGAACTTTGGGAAATGCGATATAAAACTCGCATTTTTATTAACCTCACAGCGCGTGAGTGTGACGAATAACTAATACTTTTACAGGATTTTCTTTTAGTAACAGATATGATGTAGTATAGTTTTTTACTCTTACTTTCTAATTGTCTCCTACAACAATTTAAAAGGTCACGAATGGATGAGAAGACCTACGTTTTTAGGGTGCCTCAGGGGGGTGGGAGGGGAGGGGAGGGGGGTGCTACCATGAAAAACATATAATTTAGGTCTTTTGACAGGCCAATTCTCTATCCTTTTATAATAAAAGTGTATGAGTGAGGGTGTTGGGTAGTTGCCCCTCTACCCCCGAGTTCCCTGCACTGTTAGCCTAGACCTACCCGTGTGTATGCCAATTCGGACCGACAGTTGTTTAGTGGGGAGCTGCGGTGAATTAAGTTCATCCACTGTTTTTACCAAGTCCAGGGCCAACCGGGCAATCTGATCCACGTGACGCATTCCGTTCCTTTGAGGAAGCCCCGATACTGCCATGTAGGCGTCACCAATTGTCTCCACTTTGTATACGTCGTAAAAGTTTATGCGGTCGTCAAATAAACCATAGACTTCATCCAGCATGGCTGTAACCTTAAAAGACAAAGATAGCGCAGGTGTAGTGGCATGGGTGTGAGATTGAGAAGAGGTATCAGTGTGAGAATATCAGGATAAGATTACTATTGTGACTGTGACCGTGACCGTAACCGTGACCGTGACCGACCATGACCGTGACGGTGTTTGTGGTTGTGCCTGTGGTTATGATTGTGATTGCGATTGCGATTGCGATTTTGACTGTGACCGTGACCGTGACCGTGACCGTGACCATGACCATGACCATGACTGTGACCGACCGTGACCGTGACGGTGTTTGTGATTGTGTTTTTTGTTATGAATGCGATTGCGATTGCGATTTTGATTGTGATTGTGACTATGACTTTCACTGTGACCATGTTTACGATTGCGCATGATTTTTTCTGTGACCATAACCGTGTTTTCCGTGTTTTGTTGAAACAAACCAATATCAAGGTACACTGTCGAGTGAATAATGTTTTGCCTGAGCTTAGTGCTACATTCCAAATGAGACTTCCACATAGAATTCCCTCAAAACATTTGCCAATTATTTGGCAGTTTTAGCATTCGAAAGGGTACTTTTTTTCTGGCGACTCAGTGTTTTAGAATAGTAACAACAACTAAGGTATTTCAATCCGCGTTAGTCCTTCTCTCAAATAAACTTTCAACTTAACGGGTAAAGAAGTTTGCAACACAACAGGAGGATAGTAACACTGTGTATCAGACCTGCAGAGGCGCCATACTAGAGCACATTTCTGTAAAGTTGACGATGTCGCTGAAAAATATTGTCACGCTGTTAAAGAACTCGGCTGGAATTTGCTGTTTGTTCTTGAGTTTTTCAGCCACTGGAAGCGGAAACATTTGGTAAAGGAGAGTGTCTGCTCTTTGCTTCTCCTCTTTCAACTCCAGCATTGTCTGGGCAAGCTGAAAGGTGTAGTTTTGAATAGTCCCTGTCATTCTGTGAACTGAAAACACCAGAAGAGGTACTAAAAGTATAGCAACTGCGAGATATGCCAATCTTTGGGTCAGATAAGTTGTGTTCCTTATGCGTTCGACCTCCAGGCGCTTTGTTAAAGAGTCTCCGGCATTTTGTTGTACTTTAAAAGTGTCGTTAAGATATAAGGTCATGAGCTGAAACCACTGTTCACCTTTTGATACCGAGGCGTTCTCTGGTTGGTTAGCAAGGATGACTTCTCGTTTTTTTTCGACCAAGCGCAGCACTGTTTCGTTCACATGATGGCTCATTTTTGTCTTAATCTCTGGCATAAGAGTTTCACTTGCTTCTAAAAACTCCCTTCCAAGAATGCTGTGATTTGCGAACCTAACTAGATCGCTTAAGTTTCTAAAATATCCCTTGGCGAAGAATGCTCCGCCTAAGGCGCGCTCAATTCCAATTTTGTCTTTTCCAGCAAGGAACATGTGGTACCCAACCATATCCAGAGATATATTATTTTCGGAATTATTGCGAACATTCTGGTAGAACCAGTCCAACATCAAATCGATCGGAAGGGTGTAGAAAACAATCTGCTCATGTTGAGTACCGCGTTCGCATTGTCCAACTTCATATCTAAAACCAAGATAAGAACTATTCTTAATATTATTATTCGCTATAAGCATTATCGCTTATTAAGAGGCAAATTATTTCTAAATGTCCTACATAATTTATGGCAGATTCATGACAAACAAATATTAATCCTGCAGGTATAAAGTATTCATAATTATGATCAGATTACTATGGACACACCTAAACTTTGAAAATTGATTGTCACGCTGAACAGTTTTACATTCATATACAAAACACACTGGCTGTCATCTTTGTAACTGTAATCTCTGGGTTTAAAGTAAAAGCCCTCATCCTACCTGTCAACCTCATCCCCCGGGCTTTTCCCTTCAAAAATGGGTGGGGCGGCGCCCCACCCATTTTTGAAGGGAAAAGCCCTGGGGACGAGGTTGCTTACCTGTGATCCGTTAAATGCCTTCGGAAATTTTGAGGCGTACGCAGGAATTCCCTTTCAGCTGTTTCGTCAAATGGCCACTCTGTTTCCTCCAGGACTTTATCTGTGTTATGACGAGCATCGCTCAACTTTTCAACCACTCTATCCTCGTCTTTGGCACCCTTTGATCCCAGACAAAGCACAGTGAGACCACGCTCAATTTGAAGACGGTGAATTAACAAAGCCACCTGCAAACTTGATTCGAGATTTTTCTTCAGAATGTCGGCTTTTCTGATGTTTTCTCTCGCATAATTGACATCTTCAACCACGAAAATGAGTAGACCGGTTATTGCTATCATAGCAACGCCGATGATCTTTAGGGACTGCACACGACGGCCAGCTGCTGTTGTGACGTCATATCGCCAGCACAGGCGTAACAACGTCAACGCCTTGTTGGTATTGCCCTCCATTATTTTTTTCTTTTCACGTCTGTGGAAGAAAATAAGATAATTCGAAAAGTAAAGTAAGAGTGTGATCATCAGAGAGAGAACGCCAACGAGGTTCGATTCATCTTCTTTGAGAATACAGCAAAAGTAATGAAGTATTTTTTTCCAACGGAAGATAACGCTGGAAGCTAAGTTACCGTATGTATGTTGTGCTTTCACAAGCGCTGTGAAATGGTTGGGGGTCCCCAACATACAAAAAGATGTTTAGAAAGATCTCTTTTTGCTGCTCTCTTTTGACGATTGTTTTCGGATTAGCATCAAGACGAACCAAGGAACGAAACACCTGCTCTATAATTTCAGAAAAAGAGGTCTCAGTTGCCTTTGCAATCCGCTGAGGTTGCTGACTTATACAAACCATCCTAAAATTAAGTAGTTCGGTTGGGATACAATTTGTACCTGGGAAAAAGGTAACGTTTTAGGAGTTACAGCTGGACATTGATCAGACCTGTTTCTGTGAATACTCGACCTGATATAGAAAATTTTTTTAGTTTTCAGCTGGTCGCTGAGGAGCTTTTTTCATGTAAGGCTCACTTCTGGAACACCCTGTTTTAGGAACAAAGCCAAGCTTTGTAACCTTCGTAAGCGCCTTGAATAAACTTGTGTCTTAGTGCATGTATGTGTGTAAATGTGTGAAATGAGTGGCGAATATTTCCTCACACATCGAAGCGGATTTCCAACCCGCCGAACCGACGTTCCGTTTCCAACTTCAGCAGATCCATCTCTAACAAAAAGTATGTCATTAAATTTAGATTTCATAAAATGAGAAATCTCTAAAATGAACAAGTTTTGCTAAAGAACTACAACAGGTTCTTTTTAATGAGTTGTGAATTGCACTGACATAGTATTACAATACACTATGTCAGAGCCTACCAAATATATTCAGCCGAAATTCAATCGGTCTATCACTTGAAAAAAACAAAAGGAGCTTACAAAAAAACTGACTAAGAAAAATCTAAACATGATTTTCTCTTACCTGGTATCGCCGTGTAGCAAGCTTTTTCATGTTATACACTGAGCTGAATAGGACTAAGTATACTCTCTGTGCGACACATTTATTGTAAAACTGTCAGGAAGCTTAATACAAACGTGAAGTAAACACATTAACTATTTAATCAGCTTGCTTTTCTTGGTTATGGCAGGATATCGGAAATATACTAACAATTGAGCAAAACCTGGGCAAAAAATTAGTTGTCATTTAAATCTTTATGCTAAATGCTACGGAACTATTAAATTGTATGAAAGATATAAATAGAGAAAAACTGTAATGAGTGTTTTAAAGGATGATATGCATAAAAAATTGAATGTAAGTGTAAACGGAGTTGAAAGATCAACACAGTATATAAACTCAGTCAAACCTGAGTAATCACATGGTTGGTTCCCTGAAAAAGGAAATATTAACTTAGCTAACCTTATTGCTTTGCAAGGAGGAAATCAGAAAAACAGTGTCAACAATATGTGAGCATGGACTAATTAAAATTATCAACAGGATAAACGGTTATGGTACTGGAACTCTGACTGTATTAATGCCCTGTCGGGTAGTCAAAAACAAGGACTTGCTATATATTTGGATCATGCCAATGTGTCAAAGTTTTTTTTTTTCTTTAAAAGTTGTTTTGCTGAAAAATAATATATCAGATAATCAAACACGATGCATGAGCGATGAGGAGTGTTTCATCTGATATCCAATCACCGAGGAATGATATAAATTATTTTAAAACACGAGGAGGAGTGTTTATCTCATATTCAAACACCAAGAAGAAGATGAACAAAACGAATCGCATGCGTGCTTTAGCTTTCAAAAGGGGAAAAAATTACCTCTTTACCAGCAGAGCCAAATTGTCTTAGCTGACTCAGTCATAAAGTTGACCTGTCGATGCTTCATCGCACTTTAATTTTTTTGTTAAAATGGTCAAATTCTTGATTGTTAAAGCTATCGAGATCTGTAATAACATTTGTTTCACTTTTTTATAACTCTTTCCACACTTTTTGTTAACTCTTATCAAATCATAATCTGAGTAATTAGTAATTCAAATTGTAAAATTTTGTATTTTGTATTTTACCCGGGCGCGCATGGGTTTATGTCTCTAAACTAGCCGTATTAGGGCTATAAGCATATCTACCGCGTAAAATAAATTGTTTATGCAACTCTTCTATAACAATTGTCGCAATTTAGCAGTTGGACAGTATCTTAAGTAGTCGCTGTGGTAAATAACATAAACTGTTTCTTGAATCGCTAAATGCCTTCTTGTTCAGGTTATTGATAGGTTTTGATGGGTGTATTGAAAATAAGGTGACTCTATTGGCTAGTGATGCTTACTCTGACTTGTGTGTTGATTTTTTTCGTAATTAAAACATTTCAGTTGAAGAAATGTATTTCGTATATTTTTTATTTTGTTTTTTCGTTTAAAACCAAAGAGATCTCAAGAACTTTCAAACACTTAAAATTCTATGAAAGTTTCCGCCCGTTCCAAATCGAATCGGAAATTTGGAAATGATTGGTTTTTGGTTGAGAGGGTGGATGCGCGAAGTACCTGAAGAAATGGCTTCTCGGAGTTAAGACGAGAATTGACAATAATCTCAGGACTAACATATGTCGTGTGGTTGTCGACCACCGACATTAACGGGAGCGAGTACTCTTATCGTTGGCTTTACATTCTCTGGAGTGGTTTCCACTAGAAATCCTTCCAAGACTACTTTCTATCCATCTGACATAAATTTATATATTGCCCATATGTTGTATCTTGTAAGTGTTTTTTATTGTGGTTTATGGTAAAACAAATGATAATAAAAGTAGAATGAAAATGAATTGTTTACACTTCTGTGGAAATTCTCCGCAGCTCTTGATTAGACAGCTCGTCCATCCATCTATTGGCCATGCCAAAACAACTTTTATTTCAAAGTTTGAAATCTTAAGCTCCATAATACAGTCCACTCTAGTTACTACGGACACCCTTGAAACCAGGAGTTAGCTTATAAGTAATTTGTAAAAGCAGGCTGCGAGAATAATTTCGATCGTTCGAAAACAACTGCAATAAATTAGTGCAGTTAATGTGTACATTAAATTTATGACAATTTCGACGGATGCGAAACAGTAAACTCGTTATTCCAACCAAAAGACAAATTTGACGACAAATGACAGATAAAATATATATAATTTGTTTGATTGTTTCGATCACTTCGAGAGTTAGGAAGAATTATGTAATAAAGCGGCCTGAATTTCTTTTTTTTTTTTGCAATAACCAGAGTCCGAGCCCAATAGTGGGAGCTTTACCGTCAATCCAACATTTGTAAATTTTGCGAGGAATTTAACTCAGCCCTTCGAGTGGGGCGTACGACTATAAATAAATAGCAAGGTGTGCGCTTTTTATATAGAAGCACGTTACAGCTGAGTACTGCAAACTATTTTTAAGTGCACTTTAAGTGCAACTGAAGTTTTAAATTGCTTTCTAGTGAGGAGTCATTGTCGTGCACTATATTGAAGTGCTGTCATTTGCATCAGACCTTCAAATCAACTCTCTGCGTGTATTCGCGCACGTTATTAAAGCCTCGATTTAAGGCCGGGTGTACGTCTGTAACTTAACCCTCCTTTATAAAGATCCAAAATTTCAGTGCGAAAAACCGACAAAATATATAAGATCCGAAGCGCTGCGTAATAACTTGAATGTCTTTTACATTCTCGCATTTAGCTTTTTGTGAAAGAAAATTATCTGACATCGCTTAAAACTCTCTCTGTACATTTTACAATAATGATATATAGTGCATATCGTGGGGAAACAGCCGCCCGGGCTATTTTGTCTATTTTCAAATCGTTTTAACATGTAAGACATCTGGCGTATAACATCTAAACACAGACAAATCCGGCGACAGCGTGATAATTTCCAAGAAACAATGCCTTTGGCTGGCGCTTTTCCAATTTGTTGATAAAACAGAAATATTCGATATTTCGACATAAACAAAACTTATCTACTTCCAACTTTAATACAGTGGACGAAAAAACTGATTCAATTTTGAAGTTTTAAATACACCGTCTATAGAAGCAGACACTGAAGAGGCAACGTACATCCCACCATATTCTACCCCGACCATTCAAATGTGTAATTTAGTATTTGCTTTACGTTCAAAAAGGATAGAAAACATGACATAAACTAAATATTATGAAGTAAAGACGTGAAAATAAAATCGATTGAATGAGTCGAGAAACCTGAGTAAGAACAGTAATATCGATGAATCGCACTATACTTTCAAATTTTGAAAGTGAGCTAACTGTATAACCGCTGCGACACGATTAGTTTTTGGTAATTGGAAATGAGGGTGATTATCTTCAACGGACCTTGTTAAGCAGTGGAAACAAGGTTATAAAAAATATAACTGTTAATGATAGTTTCTTACCTGTCTACATTAGCACTTGTTTGCAGGCTAGCCATAAATGATTCCTGTTTTGCTCCGAAAAAAACGAAGTAATGTTTCTCTAACGCAATTTTTTTCCCTTTAATTTCCCTCTTTAACACCTGTCTTTAAAATCAATTACTCGCCGAGTACCTCCGCAGAGTAAACACAACTGATATCTCGAGAAGATGATTCGATAGTCAGCTAACAAATAGGGAGATACACCACAAGGCTGAAGGCTGTTTCATATAACACACTAACAATAAGTATTAAAATATGGTCAATTAAAACTATGCAAATTGCTAGAAATTATTCTCATTATTTTAGGCAGCAGCGGGCAGTCCCGTTTAGTGAAGCAACAACAAATTGAAGCGTTATCGTGCAAGAAGTTTTAATTGGTTTTGAAGTAAAATTTCGCGAGTGCTTGTTGGTTGTTAACCCCTTAAACCCTAAGATTAAATTTGAATTCTCATTTGTTGTCCCTATTCATTTCCTACAGAAGTAGAGGGGAGAAGTTAATAAAATATCAAGCAAATTCATCTGGTGTGATCATGCCCGTAATTCTCATGACCACTCTGTTTTAAAAAGTATTGATATTACAAGGAGAAATTTGATGCTGATCACTCTCAGGCTTAAAGGGTTAAACTGGTAATATATCACGCAGTGAAAAATAGGTGAATTGCAGTTTATGTTCATGTTTATTAATGCAGAAAAAAATAGCAACTAAGTTTGGCTCACTGTTGTTCCCAATTCAAGCATCTACTTGCTTTCAGAAAGCCGCTAATAGGAAATATTGCGAGATTCCGAGAAAACTCATCGAACCTTTCGTAAAGCGAAAACGTGACTGAACCAAATAGGTCCGCGTTCATTTGCCAGCCCATGCAGTTTAAACAATTCAATTGTAATTGTACTCCCGCACTACCTACATTTGAATTTAGTAGAAAGTAATTAAAATCGTACGTACAATCTCTAACTCCTTTTTTACCATCACTATATTTACCCATCAACGACTTTGTACAATTGAGGTCGATAATTGGTTTTCTGGCCTCTGAACTCGTTTTCTCTTTCTTTTCTCTCGTTTCGATTTCTTTCATTTTCACTGTTGTACTCTGTCAGCATATTTGAATTATACTAAAAACTCGGGATACATTTTTCATAACGAGCACCTGACAAAACTAGAAGAGATTGATTAAATATTTATAAAGCAGATGACTGAAACAGCCTCTTAAAAATAAGAATATCTTCTTTTTTTCTTTCTTTTCTGGAAAAAAATTGATTGAGTCTCTCCCATAGGGCCTTTTTGATGCGAAGTTTTACCCAGATATATTACAAGAAATTCCGTGGTCGATATTTATTAGCATTACGGTAAAAGGATGCGGGAGGTTAAAAACAATTATTATTCACTCAAAATATTTCTCCAATTCTGATTGGCGAAAAGCACACACATAATTCACCAAAACCAGCTACTGATGACCAAATTTGGAAGAATTTTGCATTTAATGAACCGATGACGTCAAAAGTGCAGCGTTCTTGCAGGTCAGGGCACTGTTAACCGAGAAGACCTGGGGACGAGGTTGAGTTGTTTTGGTTATGAAAACGGAAATGGCAGAACATTTTGCGGAACATTTTACTCGTTTCACGACGATTTACTGTCTAAAAACATGGCAAGAAGACAACTCGATGGATAAAATCTGCTATTTGGAGTATATTTGCAGACCTGAACAGCCCTTTGTCTTCTAAACAGCCATTATTGAGGTGAACTTGACATTGAAGACGGTAAGCATGTTTTAGCTTGTTTTTAAACTAGGAATTATTTTGAAATGAATAGAGCGGTTTTCACTTGACTGTCGAAAGGGATTGGTTTTGGTTTTGGTTTTGGTTTTACTACGCCCTTTGGTTGGCTAGTGTATTTACTTTGGTTTTGGTTTTACGACAGTCAAGTGAAAACCGCTCTAATAAAGCAATTGAATGAATTCGGCTTTCGGAGGACATGAAGAATTAGGCAGATCTCGGAGGGTGTTATCAGCCTCGGTGGATAACGCCCCCCGAGATCTGCCTAATTCTTCATATCCTACGAAAACCGAATTCAATAATTGCTAAATAATTCACCAGGGGCATGGAATAAGTTGACCATAATCACGCAACATGCTATTAGAGAGTCTGAGATATCACGAAGGTGACGGTCGCGAAAACGTCACTTAAAAAGTGATTTCGCGCTCTTTGAAACTTCAGCGCGATCATCCCAGCCTGCTCACTTTGTCAAGTACTGGAGTTAAATTGCCAAGTACTCGAGTTAATTGTTTTTTAGTAAATATTTTGATTGTAAGGATTAACGAAAGCTTCGCTTTTAGGCTTGACTAAGTGTAATGTCAAGATGAGTTGCGGGTTAACTTCCTCCCTGTGAAAATATAATTGAATTAACTTAGCAAACCCCTGCTGTAACTAAACTGTTTTTGGTTAGTGCAATCAATGGGAAGCTTTCTTTATTGCAGTTTGGAATACGTTAGAATTTCCGACATCGCTCACACTAAGTTAAAAGTAAAGTAACCCTTTAGGCTAAGCACTGATTTTCACTGACAGTTCCGGATAAAGCTAACTTGCATATAAGGAAATGCTAGCCATTTTGTCTAATTCCACATCTACAAAATGCATCATAGTCATAAACTGAAATCTGTTAGATTTCAGCTAAAAGGTTTCACAGCTGCACAAAAGCTGTCATTTGCATATCTTCTGGGGCGTACAGAGTAAGGCACGGACCATTTTCCGAGAATCCCTTGAGCCAGTACGTTGACATGAGACCTTTGCCCTGCGTATGAAAAGAGAATATGGCAATATTCAGTTTAAATTATATCAATTAGTTTTTCACAGGCTTGTCAGTTTCACCAGCTTTACCAGACACAGACTTGCATAAAGAGGGTTGGGCGTGAGCGAGATTTATAGGTCCCATGCGTGGTGCTGCCCCTTTTTAATCATGGAAGATCACAGACAACCCAACATTGTACGCTTGGGCTACCTGTGGGAAGACGGAAATTTGGGATGGTATAAAGGTTACACAACCATGACAACAACAACGGAAAAAATGTGATTAAATGTATTCGCGTTCTTTTAACTTTACAGCATTATTTTTAACTATCTTAACTTTGTCAGATAAAGGCAAATTTTCCCTGATTTGAATCGTTGTTCGCATTCAAACAAATACTTACTTTTACTGCCATACTGTCCCTGAAAACGATATGATAGCTTCCAATTTCGTCCAAGGCTTCCTTAGCATTTTCCGAAATGTGAATTTTCTGAGCTAAAAACGCACACGCATACACATAAGACAATGTCATTTGGTGTAAGTATTGTTCATTGGACTATTATAAACTTGTACAGCTGATGAAGAATGACGGACGTTATCACTTCCAAAAAATATCCGCCATCTTGAATTACAAATTACTGTGACATGTTTTGAAATTTTGCAAAATGTCAGAAGAGACACATAACAAATAGATCAGCAAAATGAATGGCAACAATATACCCTCTGAAATAGATCTCAAATTAATCTACTGTTAAACGGCAGTAAATTACAAATTAAATATTAAGTTGTTATGTCCCTTACGTTCGCCAGAAGTTTGCATTCTTGATGCAGTATTCACTGTGTCTCCAAACAGGCAGTAACGAGGCATTTTGTTTCCAACCACACCAGCCACACATGGGCCTAAAAAGGATATAATTATGCTATTGTTACTTTTTTTAAGTCATTGGGCCGATTATGTCATTGATAAATAATTCTTACACGTATACAGACCTGATGTATGTAGCAAACACGATCAGAAAATTAACTATTCTCGAGTGAAAGGTTTTTGTTGCTTCCCAAGAATTTCAAGACTTGGCTAAGCAGAACGCCGAGGCAAAAATTGAAATCCGAGGAGGGACAATCTGTTAAGTGATTTTTTAAATAACTGACGATGAAAGAAAAACTTCTACGACTATAAATTTATCAATCACAGTTATTACTGTAAGCCAAATGATAACCTATATTAATGTACCCTCCACCCTCTTTTTTACTTATTTTCTCCATCAATGAGCTCTCTCTTTTTCCCTGGCTTTTCAAATGCTATATACGTTGTTATTAAATTTTACTGCATATTCTTAATTGGTTTAAATTTGATTTTCCTTCGGTTCAACTCCATATCATACCCATACACAAAGGCCAGACTTACCAGTGTGTATACCAATTCGGACCGACAGTTGTCGTCTGCTGAACTGGGGTAATTTTAGTTCATCTACCGCTTTTACCAAGTCCAACGCCATCCGGGCAATCTGATCCACGTGACGCATTCCGTTCCTTTGAGGAAGGCCCGATACCACCATGTAGGCGTCACCAATTGTCTCCACTTTGTACACGTCGTAAAAGTTTATGCGGTCGTCAAACAAACCATAGATCTCATCGAGCATGGCTGTAACCTAAACAAAACAAAATTCTGTGGTCATCTGGACTGGCCTGCAAGTAATCACGAGGAACAACGTTCGACAAATTATAAGATTCTCTTGATTATGAAATGATTTACGGGTATTCGTACCTAGATGCTAACATTGACCGTTCTTATGCTACAGTCGAATTATCCGTCTGGGCAAACTTGGGAAAACATTTGCAGGTCGTTTGGTTATGCATCACGAGTATAAAGAGAGGCACAAGACGCATCACGCGTCTGGACGAACTATCAATTCGTAATACGACTTGAATGATGCATTACGAAAGATAGCTTTTGATTTGTGGACGCATAAAGCGCCTTGTGCCCGTCTTTATACCTGATACGCATAACGGACTACATTGAAATGTTTACCAAAGTTCATCCAGTCGGATAATGTGACTGTAGTATAAAATCGGCCATTGAAATCAAACAACGAATACCGCATTAGCTAACTTGGCACAAAAAAGCAGTTCCCTATGGCTAAATATCATTGACCTTTTTAGTCCCAGGGGTTATTGACGTCGCTTGTATCTCTATAGCAAGAAACGTGGGGGTATGGTTTTCCTCTAATTTGAATCTTTGCAAAAAGCAAAAAACAGTTCAACAAAACTTTCGATTTTTTTATTAGGGGAATTCGACAGCATCTTTCTCAGAATTCTGCATGCACTTTTAAAATATTGAAATAGTCCACATCTTTATGATCTGTAAATTTATCATTCATTCAATGAATCTGCTATTACCGGTCGAATATAAAGAGAAATATTGAAGCCATGAATTTCAATACAAGCGGTAGCTTGTTGCGATCATTAAGTGACGGAGAGATTTAAACCAATGAGAAAAGACAATATTTTGATTATGCAAGAAAGATTGTGAAAGGTTTGAAGCCAGGAGTCATTTCGTAAGTAGGCTGAGTATGATCGTTCAGGTAAACTATTAATAACGTAGTCCTTAATAGGACTGTTGTTGAATGACGTTTCGACAACCTGTGCGGTAGTCATCTTCGGAGTCAAAGTGAGTTGTGTCACGTCAGTTGATGCCATTAAACTCTGGTCATTGACCTGATTGGTCTATTAAGTCGCTATGTTATTGGTCGTCTGTTAATTAAGCTGTGATGGTATTGGCTATGAAGACTCGTAATGTCATTGGTGCATTTCGATCCGTCTATTGTCACAGCTAAACAGTCGTTTATTGTTCGTCAAATTTTCAGTTGTCCATTCGTTCTCTCGTAACTAGTTTTGTTTGATTCGGTCAGTAAGTCGTTTGTACCGTGCCGGTAACTGTTGACTAAGATTCAGTGGCGTTTGTTCTAAGGAAGCAAACCAGCTTTCTAAAGTGAGTCGTTGATAGTAGTCTATAGAACACGTAATACGTGTCACAGAGTCCCAGTCGATTCAATTTAAAGAAAGATTGTTGTACGTTGTTGATCTAAAAACTTAGTCGTGCTGTGAAGAAGGACTGTGGTATTTCTGCTTCTCTTCCTGTACTGTCCTTCTTAAAACCATAACCTCTAGTTTGATTCGCCTCAAAATGAATAATTATTAATAAATAAACTCAAACGCGTCAAAAAATTGCAATTTAACAGGAGCTGTTTCACGGCCGTCTAGTTCATTTTGTTTAATTTTGCCAATTACTGGCCCTCAATCGTTATGGAACTAAAAGTAAGCAAAGAAATTACATGTAAACGACAAAATCAGAGATCTGTGACAATCAAATATGTCTCCTGAGCATTATTTTTGAAGTTGCAAGCAGCAGGGATCAACTTTGAAGAACTGTTAGGCTGAACAGTTTTCAAAAATCCTCAATCCGTTTCAATCTTCTTCAGTTTTGCCCATCCGTGTCATCTGTTGTTTCTGTTATGTTATTTTAAACTTCCTTTAAAGATTTAAATGGCTATTTTTATATTTCTCTTAATTTAACGGGCAAATTTTAATTTCCTAATTTGGCTGAATTTCGTCACACAGCTCCTTTAACAGGAGCTAGCTTGCTAAAAATAATACTGACCTGCATTGGAGCCATGTTAGAACACATCTCTGTAAAGTTGACGATGTCGCTGAAGAAAATTGTCACGCTGTTAAAGAACTCGGCTGGAATTTGCTGTTTGTTCTTGAGTTTTTCAGCCACTGGATGCGGAAACATTTGGTAAAGGAGAGTGTCTGCTCGTTGCTTCTCCTCTTTTAACTCCAACATTGTCTGGGCAAGCTGAAAGGTGCAGTTTTGAATCGTTCCCGTCATTCTGTAAACTGAGTAAGCTATAACAGGCACTAAAAGAATGGCAAACACGAGATATGCCAATCTTTGGGTTAGATGTGCTGCGTTGTTCTTTTGTATGACGTCCAGACGCTTAGTTAAAGAGTCCCCTACATTTTTTTGAACTTTAAAAATATCGTTAAGATATAAGGTCATGAGCTGAAACCACAGTTCGCCTTTCGATACTGAGGCGTTGTCGGGTTGATTAGCAAGAATAACTTCTCGTTCCTTTTCGATCAAGCGCAGCACTGTTTCGTTTACATTATGGCTCATTTTAGCCTTAATCTCAGGCATAAAAGTTTCACTTGCTTCTAAAAACTCCCTTCCGAGAATGCTGTGATTTGCAAACCAAACGAGATCGCTTGAATTGCTGAAATATCCGTTTGCGAAGAAAGTTCCGCCCAAGGCGCGCTCAATTCCAATTTTGTCTTTTCCAACAAGAAACATGTGGTACCCAACCATATCCAGAAATATATCATTTCCGGGATTATCGCGAACATTCTTGTAGAACCAGTTCAACATCAAATCGATTGGAAGGGTGTAAAACTCAATCTGTTGACGTTGAGTGCCATGTGCACATCTCCCAACTCCGTACCTAAAATCAAGATGAGACCTATTCTTAATATTATTCCCCGCGCTATAAAAGTTATCGCCTGGAGGCAAATTGTTTCTTAATGATTTATTGCAGATTCAGAACAAACAAATAAGAATCTTGCAGGTAATTATTCATAATTATGAGCAGATTTCGATGGTCACACCTAAACTTTGAAAACTGATTGTCACGCTCAACAGTTTTACATTCATATAGAAAACACAGCGGCTGTCATCTTTTTACTTGTGTTCTCTGGGTTTAAAGGGACAGGTTCACAGTTAAGCGCATGCTCATTAATTAAATTACTTTTTCCCAATTTATTATTAATTCTATCGGGGTTAAAAATCCCACTCACATGTATCTCAGCGAGTGTATTTCACAGTAGAAGTCAGTGAGAAGTGTATTTCAGAGTAACCTGAAATAGGATGGACGAGTACTAAAATCGCAGAAATAATTAGTGGATTGTGCCAACACTACCAACGTTGAATTTGTTGACCTGAAGGTTTTATTCCATGGTTGATTAATTTACAGCTATTTGCAAATATATAACTTGATCAAGTGCAAGTGACTGCCAGGGGAGTGTGCAGATTGATTCTTTGACAACATTATTACATGATCATATTGCTTGCATAGACGATACAGTACGTATGTCCCAGCGCTGAACCGTGAACCTGTCCCTTTAGAGAAAAAGCCCTCATCCTACCTGTGATCCCTCAAATGCCTTTTGAAATTTTGAGCCCCGCGCAGAAATTCTGTTTCAGCTGTTTCATCAAATGGCCAATCTGTTTCCTCTAGGACTTTATCTGTGTTATGACGAGCATCACTCAATTTTTCAAACACTCTATCCTTGTCTTCGGCACTCTTTGACCCCAGACAAAGCACAGTGAGACCACGCTCAATTTGAAGACGGTGAATTAACAAAGCCACCTGCAAACTTGATTCGAGATTTTTCTCCAGAATTTCGGCTTTTTTGATATTATCTCTCGCATTATTGACATCTTCAGCCACGAAAACGAGTAGACCAGTTATTGCTATCATAGCAACGCCGATGATCTTTAGTGACTGCACACGTCGACCAGCGGATGTTGTGACGTTATATCGCCAGCACAAGCGTAGTAACTTTAACACCTTGTTGTTGTTTTCTGCCATAGATTTCTTTTTACCTCTTTGGTAGAAAATAAAATGATTTAGGGAAAATGCAATAAAAAAGCGATAATGAATAATTATTGCAGGAGGTTGAGTAAAATATCGTGATTTTAAATTTGCGAACAGATCAGTTATTTGCTGATAAGGAAGGCAAAGATAAAAAAGAGTTGCATATTCTATTTTTAACTCTATTAGAATAGTAGAGTTCGAGAATGAAATTACTGCTTTTACAAATGAAAAAATAACAGAATAAAACCATTTCACGGCAGTTCTCTCAACTTAGGAGCTTTGACTTAAATTAACTAAGGGTATAACATAACCGAAGGTTTGAGCGTTTCGATCGGAATCAAATCTCTTTTTTTTTTCGTGTAATTAATTAAATTTTTCATCTAGAGTCTCTGATAAGTAAACTTAAGTATTAAAAGTTTTGATTTCCTGACAAAATTTTAAAGTAAGCTTTGTTAAATATACTCTGTAATTCTTGTCAAATAAGGTATTAGTAACGAATCTGAAACAGAATCAGGACTCATTATTGTCTCCTATATTAATATCATCAGTTAAAATGGCCTTCGTTCTTAAGCACCATGATACATACCCTTTTAATCCCAAACCCACAGAATCCCCCCAAAAATAAACACTGATAATTTCTCTTACCTACTTTCTATTCCTGTTCTGGCAAAATGCAACTTGCTAATAACACTTCCTGCTTCTACTCAACGATTATAATACTCAAGTCTGAGTAAAGTAAGCCGCCTAAAATGGTCTTGTTATTGTTAATGATCGCGGAAATATCCCAACAAGTACAACCTGATGAAGGCAAAAAGCTGTTTTCTATAGAAATTAATTTTCTTTTTTTCAGTTTTCTCATTATATATGGCTAATGCGACTGAAAACTCTTTCGGTGTACAAGTAAGTAAAGCATCGGAAATTTCCCAAAAAGTACAACCTGATGAACGAAATTTTTATAGCAATTGATTTTCTTTTACCTATATTTTCTCATTTTATATAGCTCATGTGACTGAACACTTTTTCGATGTGCAATAAAGCCTCGGATATGTCGCAACAAGTACAACCTGGTAAACGAAAAAAGCTGACTTCTACTAACAGAAATTTATTTTCTTGTACCATATATTTTCTCATTTATATAGCTGATGTCACTGTACACTTTTTCGGTGTTTCTGCGAAGTATATGAATATCAGGAGATCAATATACAACTGAGTAAAGACAGACCGCCTAAAATGGTCTGACTCAACTTGCTATTGTTCGCAATTGCACGATAGCGGAAAGGCACCAACAAATACAACCGACGAAAGAAAAAGCTGATTTCTATAAAAAATTCATTTTCTTTACCTATTCACATTTTATATAGCTAATGTGAGTGAACACTTTCAGAGAGCCACAATAGGTTATTGTACAGCTAAGGAAAGCAAACCGCCTGAAATGATCGATCTAAATTAATCATGTAGCTGTTGATCGCAATTGTACGATATAGGACAGTTGGAATGACAAGTAAGTACATACCGCTAAACGAAAAAGCTGATTTCTATAAAAACTGATTTTCTTTTACCTATTTTACACTCTTTCGGTGTGCCACAATATTATTACAGCTAAGTATAGCAAACCGCCTGAAATTGTCTCAATCCTGATCTTTCTCAGTATTTTTCACATTTGCACGACATAGCAGGTATAACAGAAAGTAAAACTTGCAAAACTTAACGCCGCATAAAAAGCATTGGGTCAAAAATCAGCATATCAATCCTACCAAACAAGTGAACCGGATGAAGAAATACTAACAGAGAGAAAGATTAACAAACTCAGGTAGTTTTAAAGTTGAATTTTTGGACGAAAGTGGATTGCAGTACAGTTCCTCCCTTTATTTTATATGTAGATCGTTTTCAGTAATCACAAATTGATTTTGTTATTGGAATCAAAATGCTGTTAACAAATTGAGGATTCGGAATCTTCTAACGGTAGCCTCAGTGCTCATAGTTTCGCATGTTAATTACTCTTTTAGATAAATTTCGTCAATAGTTATTCTCTTTCTTATAAAAATGTCTTCGCATCAATTAAAGTCCAAAAATAATGATCCAGTTTAATTATTTAAGAATATATTTAGACATTGATACTGTTTCCGGGAGTCTGTTGCCACGGATGGCAATGATAGACATGGATTGAAACTTGACTAGTAGTTTTGCTCCCATTACATTTTTCAAAGTAATTCTGAATTAAAGTATTTGCAGCGTTAGACACATTTTGGCAGACATGTGTGGTGTTCAGTTACTATGGCGACATGATATGACGTCATAAGTGACGTGAGGTCAAGCCATTTTCAAGCAAAATATGAAGGCATCAAAGACTAGTATTTTGGAAACTCTATAGTTAAATATCTATTTTCGGTAAAAACCAAGATGACGGGCATTTTTAAATGACGTCACAGGTCTTTTGCCACTATTTATCACTTATATCGCCGGCGTTACGTACTGAATTCGTCACAGATTATCTGTCCGCAATTTTTTTTTAATTTGTTGGATGTCGGAAAGGTTGTTGCCATAATGGCGCTCTCTTCTATTCTTAAGACTAGTTAATAAAAAAACTTTTACCTTTGACAACCTTTGGTTAACAAGCACAACCGAAGCCAACTTTTCTTTAAATTGACTTGCCAAACGAAATTTAGTCAAATGCTCCCATTCACAAGGGCAGAAAAGAAATGAACGTTTGGACGGACGATTTTATCGTCTAGCAGGGCTCCCTAAACACATAGACCTGTGATAAATGTCTTATCCTGTAAATTAGCTAGCTTACTATTAATTACATGAACGGGTGTGTTCTGTCGTGAATTGTAATACCTGTCGTAAATTGTAATAGCAGTCGTCGTACATTGTAATAACAGTTGTCGAGAATTGTAATAACCAAGCTATCGTAAATTGTAATAACACGTTGTCGTAATTTTTAATAAGTCTAGCTGTCGTGAATTGTAATAACACATTGTCGTATTTTTACTTCTTAATGTCACGGGCTTATCTACTGAAATTTTCTTGTCAATCAAAAACATATGAGTTATTATGTAGCCAGCATTAAGGCAAAAACTAAATCATCTCACCGACCACCTGATATACGTATTCGAAACAGTGTGCCAACCAACTCACATCAAGCAACTGCCTGTTATTTCCACCACATATAGATCATAGGGGCCATTAGAAATATTGTGGGGGGTGGGGGTGGGGGTGGGGGTTAGAGGCAGTTAGAACCGCATAAATAGAACATGCACAATTGACTTCAGTGAGACTAATTTGAAATACTTGTCCGACTTTTGTCAATTTTTTTTATTTTGATAACAAAAGTCGCGACAAACAAGAAATCAACTAGCAAGAAAGAGTACGAAATAAAGTATTTCTTCAACACTTTTATTATCTCACTGATGTCGTCCTTTTACAAAGAAACATCTGAATTATCAGTAATCAACACGAAAAAGTCGCTATGCTCCGGTGTTCCGCAGTCTCCGCGGTAACTAAATTAAAACAAGAATAGAGAATATAGCCAGGAATAAGGCGCCACTGTGATATGTTGCTCAGTGCTCACCAAGTTTCTTGGGTAAAAAAAAGAAAAAGAAACTTGAAAACGCGATGAATTACAGTGTAACCTTTTGTAACGTAAACTTTGCTAAGACTTTGGTTGGAATTAATTCGATGGATTGAACTTTTAGAGCTATTGAGTGCAAGGCCGTGTTAGAGTTTTTGTGTAAAACAAAGTGTTTGTTCGTCTTGTGTATCATTTGTGTATTTTGCGCGACGCAATAATAGCTGTAGCTGTAGTCAGTTTAATTCACATTGTTCGAGAAGGTAAACACGACGCTGATTTATTAATCGGAAAAAGATACATCCAGTTAGTGAACTTTATCACTGAACTTTTACCTCAAAAAGTCAACCAGAAGAAGTAAACGGCTAGCATAGAATTGAAATTACATGGGAAAAAGAAACTCTTGCCACCCTGTCACAGTTGAGTGGCTAGGCATTTCCGAGTTTCCCCAAGCCTCTGTTTCAAAGAAAGGCTAAACGCAAAGCAGGTGAAATGAAAAGGTTTTGCTCTTGGCCTCGTTATGAAATTTGCGGTTTTTGGAACCTGTAAGTGGCCTATTGAGCAATGACCTCATGATGAGGTGAATTGTGGGATTCCTGTCGAACAGAACAATCCTGGTTATCTAAAGGAGTTCTTGGTGCATAATTTTTCATTTTCAAGACTTATTTCAAAATACGACAATGTGTTTTTACAATTCACGACAGCTAGGCTTATTACAATTTACGACAACGTGTTATTACAATTTCTGATAGCTTGGTTATTACAATTCTCGACAACTGTTATTACAATTTACGAAAGGTATTACGATTCACGACAGAACAGGGTACCTTATAAGGCTTCTGGATTACATACAAATTTTTGCTTACCTGGGTCTGTAGAAATTTCTTATGTGGTCGCCCTGACGTTTGTTTTTAATTCTATAGATGATAGGACATCTAGTATTGGGGACCGTTTCGTGCGCTCATCAGTCTCTATATGGTCTATTTGTACCATATCTTGTATTACTTATCTACCGCATTACTTTAGTTATCATATGCTATTTCCTCACTATTTACTCTTTTGTCTCAATAATTTTCGGAAGAATGCATAAGAGCGTAAATTTAACGAATTGTGTTTGAAATACTTACAATTTTTTCTTCTCTCACAAGTTTGGATCTGACATGTGGTGAAACAAAGGAACAAAAAGGGATTATTCCCATAACCGCAGGAAGATTGGCCTTTTTCTTTAAGCCATAAATGAACATATTCGCTGGCGTAATGGGCTGCTTTGAAAAATAATAATCACCTGTTAGAGGTAAATATAATTATTTTCATTTTCAATTAATTCACTATGAAAAACTCTCAGATGAAAAACTGGGTCCGTAAGGTAAATTAAGACCTTTTGTTTTTAAGTCGTTTTGTATCGTATTCTTAGTACCAGAGCTCA